AGATTGAACTGTTATCACGTTTGTCATAAAAGTATTCTGAGATCAATGTCATATGACCCACTGATTCATGTATTTGACCTTTCAAATTAGCAAGCCATAGTTGACAGAAACACAAAGGTTGAGGATAAAAAGAAATTATTATATACAGTAGAATGAAGGGGTAAGTTTCTAAAGAAACTGTGGTGCTGCGTCGGTGGGAGAGTATAGCAGGTAATTTAGTGTTAACAACTGGGTTGAAAACGTAAATTAGCCACCGTAAAGAGTAAAAAAGCTGACGTTTCGAGCGTTAGCCCTTCGTCAGAGCGATTAGAGGAATTGTGGGTTGTGTATGGATTTATATGTAGAAAGTGGAGCTACGCCATTGGTGGGAATATGGTGACGAAAAAACAGGAATAAATTAGTTGAATGAAAAGCGCTCGTTGATTCCGTGGGGATTAAGGGTGCCGATTTGAAATATAAATTTTTGTTCTAGTGTTTTACGGCTTTCCGAACTGCCTAGATGTAAGGAAAGGCCGCAAACTGCCATATGCTGTTTAGAATGATAAGGAAGATTGAAGTGTCTAGCGACTGGCTTGGATGCGTCCTTGTCATTTATTTCCACATCGCGAAGGTGTTCTCGGAATCGGTCACCCAGTCGTCTTCCTGTCTCGCCGATGTATAACTTATTGCAATAAGTGCAAGTTATGCAGTAAATAACATTGGCGGAGGTACACGTAAAGTGATCAATGATCTTAATGGATCTTTTGGGTCCCGATATTTTCTGTACGTTGTGAATGAAAGGACAAGTTTTGCATCGTGAGCGAGCGCATTTAAAAGTTCCAGATTGGTCATTGGTTTGAAATGAACTCCTGACTAAAAAGTTGCCTATGTTTTTGTCACGTTTGAATGAAATAAGTGGGGGTTGCGAAAAGATAGTGCCAGTCTCTGAATCGTTTTGGAGTAATTTAAAATTTTTAAGAATGATAGATTTAACTGCGTGGTTGTGAGGGTGGAATGTAAGAGTAAATGGAATGCGATCCGTGTTCTCCTTCTCGGCCGTTTGTAGTGCTGCCTGTCGATCGATTTGTTGGGCACGGTGGTAGCCCGCTTGAACGACAGAAACAGGATAGCCGCGTTTATCGAAAAACTGGCACATTGCCTCTGATTTTTTCGGAAAAATCAGAGTCGTCACTACATAAACGACGAAGTCTGAGAAACTGTGAAAAAGGTATGGAGTTCTTGACGTGTGATGGATGTGAGGATGAATACAACAAGTAACTATGTGAATCTGTAGGTTTGTAGTAAACACTAGTACATAAGCCGTTGCCTTCAATTGAAATTTTGATGTCTAGAAAAGCCAAAGAATTGTCGGAAATTTCCCAGGTATATTTAAGAGCCGGATGAAAGGAATTGACGGCGGTTATAAATTGAGTGAGCTCCTCTTTGGTAGAGTTTTTGACAAAAAAATACGATTAACGATCTCATAGCTAAACAAGAATTGCCGGCCACTGCTAAAAATCTCATCATCACTACTCCTAGAACTTCGTGTATTTACTTTTTACCTAAAATCCACAAATCTAACAACCCAGGTCGACCCATCGTTTCTGCCTGCAGTTGTCCCACTGAACTTATTTCCAGCTATTTAGACAAAATTATGGCACCTATCGTCAAAACTTTACCGTCTTACATTAAGGACAGCCAACACGCACTTGAAATTTTTCGTGACTTTAGTTTCCTCGACCAAAACAAACTTATTTTCACCATGGATATAACATCTCTTTACACTGTCATTCCCAATGACGAAGGTCTCCGGGCCCTCAAACATTTTTTCGATCAACGCACTGTTAAGGAACCTAGCTCTGAAACACTACTTCGTCTGGCCGAACTAGTACTCACACTCAATTGCTTTTCATTCGGTGGTAACTACTACAAACAAACTAATGGCGTGGCCATGGGTACTAAAATGGGACCCAGCTACGCCAATCTTTTTGTAGGTTTTATCGAACATCAATTTTTTAGCCAATACCACGGCCCAAAACCTCAACTCTACGGCCGCTACATTGACGATTGCATCGGCGCTACCTCCTCTACCAAAGAGGAGCTCACTCAATTTATAACCGCCGTCAATTCCTTTCATCCGGCTCTTAAATATACCTGGGAAATTTCCGACAATTCTTTGGCTTTTCTAGACATCAAAATTTCAATTGAAGGCAACGGCTTATGTACTAGTGTTTACTACAAACCTACAGATTTACATAGTTACTTGTTGTATTCATCCTCACATCCATCACACGTCAAGAACTCCATACCTTTTTCACAGTTTCTCAGACTTCGTCGTTTATGTAGTGACGACTCTGATTTTTCCGAAAAAATCAGAGGCAATGTGCCAGTTTTTCGATAAACGCGGCTATCCTGTTTCTGTCGTTCAAGCGGGCTACCACCGTGCCCAACAAATCGATCGACAGGCAGCACTACAAACGGCCGAGAAGGAGAACACGGATCGCATTCCATTTACTCTTACATTTCACCCTCACAACCACGCAGTTAAATCTATCATTCTTAAAAATTTTAAATTACTCCAAAACGATTCAGAGACTGGCACTATCTTTTCGCAACCCCCACTTATTTCATTCAAACGTGACAAAAACATAGGCAACTTTTTAGTCAGGAGTTCATTTCAAACCAATGACCAATCTGGAACTTTTAAATGCGCTCGCTCACGATGCAAAACTTGTCCTTTCATTCACAACGTACAGAAAATATCGGGACCCAAAAGATCCATTAAGATCATTGATCACTTTACGTGTACCTCCGCCAATGTTATTTACTGCATAACTTGCACTTATTGCAATAAGTTATACATCGGCGAGACAGGAAGACGACTGGGTGACCGATTCCGAGAACACCTTCGCGATGTGGAAATAAATGACAAGGACGCATCCAAGCCAGTCGCTAGACACTTCAATCTTCCTTATCATTCTAAACAGCATATGGCAGTTTGCGGCCTTTCCTTACATCTAGGCAGTTCGGAAAGCCGTAAAACACTAGAACAAAAATTTATATTTCAAATCGGCACCCTTAATCCCCACGGAATCAACGAGCGCTTTTCATTCAACTAATTTATTCCTGTTTTTTCGTCACCATATTCCCACCAATGGCGTAGCTCCACTTTCTACATATAAATCCATACACAACCCACAATTCCTCTAATCGCTCTGACGAAGGGCTAACGCTCGAAACGTCAGCTTTTTTACTCTTTACGGTGGCTAATTTACGTTTTCAACCCAGTTGTTAACACTAAATTACCTATTATATACAGTACTTCTTCTGTATCTTTTCGTTTCCTTTTCTCTCCAGCTGTTCAATCTATGCCGTGCTGGCAATTGAACACTTTCCTTCCCAAAATTAGGAAAGGCACACCAGTAAAAAACGAATTTTTGCTCCTTAAATATCTCATGCATCTTCCCCCAGTATTTTGTGACTTCTGTCCGAGGAAGGAGGTGTAAGCATTAAATTAACCCGAATGATTCCACGATTGTGGTATCATCCAAGCCATGCCAGAGGACTTGAACTAGACAAACTAGTGAGAATGCACAATAGCGATAGCAAAGCTTTGTAATGCTAAAGAGCTATATCAAATATATATAAATATATGTTCCCGAAACTTTGACAGCTTTAAAGAAAGAAAACTTCGTCGTCAATCCTGTTTCAAATTCCGCAATAAGTTAAAGCGCCTCATCAACAGAATTTTCGTATCCTAAATTCTCTGCATGTCTACCATCAATGGTTCGCGACTTAAAATTATCGCCATGCTGTTTCTGTTTGTTCCTCAAGAATCATGGGATTTACAGCTTCGGATGTTCGGCTACATCACTTGCGGATTTCCGAGAATCTTCGGTTATGTTTTGCAAGTCATTAAATAATCCATCTCAGTCCCTCTCGACCGAGGTGGTTTTGGTGGATGGAATCTAATGCTGACCCATTTGTGTGGGCTACGTCATTTACAGCCTTCGTCCCAGGGGGCGAAGACCCTGGGAACGAGAATGAGCTATCTTTCACTGCGCATGCCATCTGCTCTCACTCGTTGGTCGCGGGCGCGCTCGAGCCCCTGTTCTGGAAACTTGGCGAAACTGAACTTCTTTTACCGACTTTATGTGCACTTTGTAGGCATAATCGATTCTGATATTCAGAACGAATCAGTAATATGTAATTTGTTCTATGGAAACGGGTAAACATCAAACACTGCTGGAATGATTCCCTGTCAAAATGGGAAAGATGCGGCAATTAAATCTCTCAATTGGGGAGAAAAAAGAAAAAACTTCATACCCAATATACAGTGTCAATTAAGAACGCTGAGAAGGAGTTTCATTGCCGCACTGTTCATCTTTTACGAAAATGATTGACAAAGTTTACTATTCTCTTTCCTCCGCTACAATTCTACTAACAGCAGATTTACTTCTCTTACCTCTCTTCTTCGAAACCATTCTTTAACTCTAATATTGAATGGCTCTGATTAACCAAACTATAGAGTGTACGCTTTAGTACTCACTATCGGTGGGCCCCAGTGTGCAAGCGGGCCAATGAAATCAAAGTCAAGAAATTCAACTTCAGAGTTGAAACCAAAATAACCTCGGACTTTTATTTCAAATCTTAAGTTAGAGCCAAATATATAGTATAAATCATACCAAACTCACTAGGTACTTCACAAAAGTATAGAGTGATTTAGGTTAAAAAAAATATATTTCCTAAGGAAAAAAATTTAGTTTCTGCCTGACCCATGCCAGTCTTTTACAAAGGATTTCATCGGAACTAATCATTTCATTTGATTTGTCCATAGAGAGTTTGTAGAGCGTTCTACTAAATGAAGAATTTCGATAAGATATATCTAACAACTCTGCAATTATTGTGGAGATTGTACGTACATTGTAAATATGCCAGTGATTACTGAAAGTACAGTAAGGGGAGGATGGGGGGGGGAGGCTGGGGGGAGGATGGGGGAAGGAGGGGGGAGGATGGGGGGAGGATGGGGGAAGGAGGGGGGAGGAGGGAGAGTTAAGGCGTTGGACTCGATCGGGACTGCACACTGACGATTTTGAACTTGAGTCATCCAGATCTCAAATCCTTTGCCTTAACTTCCTGGCCCTGCCATTAACTTGGAAAAATTTAGCCAAGGATGTAATGCCAACCACGGAAAGATCAGGCTATCTGGTGCCGGTAAATCTAACTCCGGAGTATCCACTCTAATCAAGATAACAGTCGCATCCTCCGACGAACGACGATGGCCGATTACTTATATCTCGTCCCTGGAATCTTTATCCGGATTTCTATCATTATCTTTTTTCTAAGACGTAGGGACACAAGATGCTTTGTCTTGCGTTTTATTCTTCGTCATCCTAGGGATCTTTGACTGCAATGAAAAACGTACCGTTAGAGTTTATCAACCCTTAACCCTTTCACTCCCAAGATCTCATCAGTAATTCTCCTTACTATCTGCCACACAATTCTTATGATGTTAGTATGGAGAATTTGGTATTGGATCAACTAAAAATTCCGCCATTTTTTTTTTACTCTCATCACTTGTCTGCTTGACATTGCATTGACACTGTAAGGAGAAATTCTCTCTTGGTCACTGATGGGAGTTAAAGGGTTAAACCCCTATGAGTGACCAGCATCTAATTTCTCCTTACAGTATCAACGCTAAATCAAACATCCTCTTGAGAGATAAAAATAGAACAAAATATCAATTATGGGATTACGAATTGATCCGATTCCAGATTCTCCGGACTAACATAATGAGAATCATTTGGCAGACAGTAAGGAGAATTACTGATGAGAGACTTCTTTTCTGCAATTGCCCCAATTGCAGCTCACCTACAAGGATCATTTCTATACATAAATTATTGTTATTAATTATTTTACTTTGAATTAAGGTCAAGGAAAGTTGATTTGAAGTTAATTATTAATTATTTTACTTTGAATTAAGGTCAAGGAAAGTTGATTTGAAGTTAATTATTAATTATTTTACTTTGAATTAAGGTCAAGGAAAGTTGATTTGAAGTTAATTATTAATTATTTTACTTTGAATTAAGGTCAAGGAAAGTTAATTTTTGTGAGATAAAATCAGTAATCACAACATTTGTTACACAGGTGTAACTCAAATAGTCTCCAGTGTTCTGAGGAATTTATTATTGGGGGCGTTTTATTACTTTATATGGATAACAAATCTCTTACCTTTGTTATAGACTCTTTTGGCCGGGCTCCTTCTGTACTCGATCTGGGTTCCTGTTCAAACGAGAAAATTGAATACACATCACAACAAGGTCATTTCCAAAGAACCTCGCAGAGGGTAGGGAACGGTTCGTAGATTAATCTTGTTATACAGTGATTTCCTCCCTGTGTTCTCTCTGTTCGAAAGGAAATTGAAGCCAGTCAACAACCGTTCCCCTTTTATCAGTCAGCGAAACTTTTTCTTAAAGATAAATAGATCAGAAAAAACGAATTGAAACTCGAAAACACGCTCGTGCAATCTGCTACTGGCAGAAAACTGCAAAGAAAGGAATCACAATCTTTAGAGTGTCGAGAATACTTTCGAACATTAAAGTATGCATAGAAACTGGAAATATTTTAAACACCTGAGATGTTATCTCAGTTTGCCTTGGAGAAGGGACTGTTTTTGGCCTCTTTAACTCATCTGCCTGTAAATTGAAAATAACAAAATAGGGATGAAAAAGAAGACCAGGTGATAGCATAGTGCATTGCTAAATCCAGCATGAGACTGTTCGTCTATGTCCTCGATGTTTCTAAAGCTCGTAAACAGTTTACAACCACGAAAATACAGTACATTGCCCAAAATAACTTATTCGATGGTTTTACATATAAAACGGGCGAACATTTTGCTAAATTTACGTAGAATTTTTTCTAAGCATCGTAAGGACGAGGATAGATGAGAGCAATGAGCAGAATATCCACCCGTATTAATCGTTAAGCCATCAAGTAAAGGATTTTTTAGTCCACTAATTTCCAGTATTTAGGCTTCTAGTTTTCGAAAGACCAAACTTATGAATGACTCATTCAAACTCAACTAACAATGAATATCCAAGCATTTAAAATATCTTACAGAGTGGAGTAACTTGACGCAGATAATTTTTTTCCTTGATAACATACCGGAAAGAAACGTCGTATCCAAAGTTTCTCCAGCTGCGTAATTTGATTTTTCCTGCCTTTTCGGTACGATACTAGGTTTTTCAATTTTTTTTTCTCCTCCTCTGTCATTTCATCTTCTTCCGATTCTAGGTCCTGAAGACGAGCACTGAGATCATTGTGCACTGATCTCAGGCTGAGGAGGGAAAAACCGTAGAAAGTTTCTCTAAGGATATGGCTGCAATGACAAGCCCCTCTTGTCATTCCAGTTACTTTGGTGTACAGCTCCTGTAAAGTTCGACTATGTTTATCGATGAAATCCAACTTGCTGGTCCTCGAAAAAGTATCTCCCTTTAGTTCGGGTATCTCCAAACTCTTCACCATGTCCATCAGCTTTCCTTGGAGATCTTCCAACTGGCTGGAAATTCTTTGCTCTTCTCCGTCTTCTTCGGAAAAACCACTGTTCGCCTTTTCTACCGATAAACCCATTTCGCCAGTATTTTCAACACTCTCCGCAGCAGGAATGTGGCTGCTAGCGTTTACATAGTTCTTCAGTTCCTACAGCGCAGTATATAATTTAAATCAACAACCATTAGATACTAATTTCATAAAACTTGTGATATTTGTTCGTCATTCACATAATTTTTCTCTTTTATAATACCGAATAACATAGAAATGCCTCCGATAAAAACGAACTAATGCACCATTTTAAACAACGCTTTAAAACGAGAGAATATGGATCTGTAAAATTGTTGCTTACCTCGGGGGATGTCTTAAATTCTTTTCTCTCACTCTCCCACATGAAGAAAATAGTTTTCCCGCCATCGCAGTCGATACCCAGCATGACCTGCGAATATCAAGTGATAAATTTTTAGAGATTTAAGGAACTCAGTGAGGAAGAGGAGGATATCTCTTTCAAATAAATGGACAAAAACACACCTCGTTGTTATCATTAAGCTTAATGGTTCCAGTGATCTCAATCACTATCTTTCTTCTGCCATTTAATGGACCTGCAGTAAACAGGTGATCAAAAAGTTACTTTTTCTTGCATTGTCAAAATATCGTCAAGCAGACAAAGAAAATATGCTTAATTTTGCTTAAAGGAGCTTTTATTTTGCATATGACGTCTGTGAACAGGTGCAGCAGCATAATTGTAATAACATGTAAGACAAAATCACTCAGTTCGATTCGTTATAAAAGTCTAGTTCTCATGTTACAAAGGTGCAAATTTTTAAAACGAATGCAGTTGGCAGGCAAGAAAAGACCATAAACACTTTCAGAAACTGCCAGGATTCTTTCGTCAATAGGCCCTCGAAACGTGTAACCGAAACTTTAAACGGCGGTTGAATTTACTTTTACTTTAACTTATTACGATACATTGAATTAAGTATTTGTAATGATTTAAGATCAGTCTTTCTGCGTCTTTAATTTTTATTCACCACAAGAAGTAAATCATTGTTTTAGTATATACCCCACAGATACCAAAAAATTAGTTTATTTCTTCAGTTCAATATACCAAATAATGGTCAGAAAATTTTAAAAACTCTTGACGCGCGATTTTGTCCCATCGGCTGCTCAGAGGTGAATAGTACTTGCTATTCACTTCCAAGCTAACCAATCAGCGCGCGCGAAAAGCACTATTTACTTGTGTGCACATACCGAGTAATTTTTCAGCCAGAGTTTTAAGTCCTATCTCTGTTAATGCCTTAGCCAGTTTACCAGCAGTGGCTTCATCCCTGCCTTCTTTTTCCATCCATTTGACTAAGAGATCGACGCAGCGTTCCTTTTCAGATGGATTATCACTCTTTATTGAATCAATCACTGATTTTTGAAAACCTAATTTTCGTGCTAATTCCATCCATCTTGTTCCGATATCCTCGTGAAGCCTGCGTTCATAGACATCAGATTCGGTTAACGGATGACATGGATCCAGCGACACAACTGATTCTACTGAAGGGAAAAATAAAAGCTGGATATCAGGCATCTACTTTTGATAGAAGGATCATGTTTTTAATTAGAACAAACTGGAGCTGCTGCAAATAAACGGCAGGAGAGAGCAAGCCGTTCGGTAGTATTTAAACATATGGTGGGTTTTCAAACAAGGAAGAAGATTCAGAAAAATATATGTTTATGAACTAATAAAAAAGAATCACGCGTAGTTAAGCCGCGTTCAAACGGCCATGATAGGTGATTCTAGTTTCAACTATCTCGCGCGTTTGAACGCGATCTATCATCGACTATCATCAACTATCATGTAGTTTGGACATGTTAAAATTCGACATTATAGTTGATGATAGTTTTTGCCATTTGAACGAGCAAATGATATTGTATGATATTTTTCGGTCAGCAGTTTTTCCAAAAACGGGCTCAAACCGAAATATGGTAAAATGACTAAAGCAGCCGTCAAAATTTCGCAGAATGTCTCGTAGCTCATTCTTGTCATCTCTCGGTAGGCTTGAGTATCTTCAACACGCGACTTCTTGACTAAAATTTCAAATCCTACTGAAATTCCCCAACTACGCCCCTTGACACAAATAAAACACAATTCGCTTTTTGGCACAGAGAGAAATTCATAAAAAAAAAATTAAAGAATACGAACGAAAAGTAAACAACAGCCAATGTTATGCTCAATAAACCTCTCTGCTATCCTACAACACCACGCAAAATCACCCGGGATGGGAGGGTGGGTGGAAGAAAATGTAAAATCTCTGTTGTACGCTCGATGTGATAACTGACGCGAAATGAACTTCGAAACTCCTGGAGCCTGATACTGGAGGGTGATTGTTGTGCAATTAATCCGTTTGAATATATGCTTGTCCAAAGGGGGTAAATTGCTGACCTTAACGCGCCATACTTGTTTACAATTACGCGATGTCATCGCGTGGTTGTCAACCCTCGTCAATTCTCATGAACCGTTTGAACGCAAACATAATAGTCAATGATGGTGAATGAGAGTTTAAAATATCGACTTTCATCGACTATCATGGCCGTTTGAACGAGGATTTAGATTTAAAACGCAAGCATGAAAAACAGCAGTCACGAAGATCACTTAAACGATAGAGCGATTGAGTTGGAGAGTCGTCATATGGTCGATGCAGCAATTCGTATTCGAGTCAATACGTAAATGTTCGTAAAAGACACACTAAAAGTAGTAGATTACTGGTGTGTGTTGAGTGATTTAACAGTTTCTAAAAGCATTACATAATGTCGAAAGCCGCAAGACGTCAAGCACAATAATAAGGTTAATTAAACATGATTAAATCGGTAAAATGCCAAAGCTGAAGGTTTTACTCGAGGCATTTATTCACAATCTAAGGCTAGATTACGAATGCAAAATATGTTTAACTTTCCTTTTCCCGACTTCAATTTTTAGTTTGACGGCTAATAGCTTCCGGGTGGGTTAACAGAGTACATTGCTTTTAAGTATTTAAAGTTGTTTTTGGTGGTTTTGGCTCAAATTTATTCAGTAAAGCAACGAACCATTAAATTACTTTGTCTAATGATAAGGAAATTCCGATCTGTTTGCTAAAAGCACTCGTGATTCGACAAAACGTTTCAAACAACGAAACAACAAAATGTATAAAAAAACACGAGTAATGACCTCAGCGAGAGAAACTGAGTTTAAACATGCATTTATTTGAGAAAATTTTGACCGAGCATAACGATTGAATTGTGATGTTATGATGCTTAATGTATTAAATTCAACGCTTCAGACGGCCTAGTTCGTCCGAAACGAGTTTAAACGCATCCTTCTCCTCTTTCCCCTATCAATATCTCAACTCCCTACCATACCTGCCACAAGCTTTTGGCTCATAAGAAAATGACTTTACCGAGCATCTAATTTTGCAACAATCTCCATCCTTACCGTGACATAACTTTTGAGCCATTCTTCTAGTTTACAACAACTCCTCAGAATTTGTGGCGTACTGTCGGTAAATTCGCGGCGGAAGTGACTCGTTCTTTCCTGAAAAGGAATGGTTTAAATGGTTATTTATGTTAGGTTAAAGAGACGAAAAACGCATTTCAATTCTACGTTTGTAATTACTGTTAAATTAGCGTAGTACAGTCCTTTATGTACCATACTTAATTCAATAATACCAGTTTTTAACCACTGCCCGCAGTTGGAAGAGGCAAATGTCCAAGTATCTCCTTGATGACGTGTATCGATTCATAATGCTGTTTCAACCCCTTTAAATTGAACAAAATGATTACCTTTTCCCTTCGATCAACGACAGCCCCGCCGCTACTGGAGTATGAAATTGGGAAACACCAATTAAGAAACGGCGAAGAACCTTTCTTCAAGACATACTAAAGAGATTTTAAGGGTAACTTCCTCGTTCAATACGCTGAAGTGGAGATCGGTGTTTGTCCCACTACTTAGGCTTACGATAATGACCTTCTATGATCGAATGAAAACGGACGCTTACCACGGAAACAGATTATCTATCAAACTTCTTACTGATCCGTGATGACCTCCCTATTATTTAGTCACCAATGAATTTTTATAGTCATAAGCACTGAGCAATAAGTCAGGGAAAATTCCCGTAATGAAGCAAACGTATCAATGTGATGACTCAAAGTTTAAAGTAGAAAAGTCAGCTCTGGTTTTGAGAAAAAGGGTAAAGGAAATAATCTAGGGCAACGCAGTAAACGGTTTCGGAGTGTTGTGATATGCGTGGCGTTACCATTGTGACATAGGAATAGACACAACTGATAATGTCAAACACAATTGATTAGGATACATTGCCTCACAAAAGATCATACACCAAGAGAAACTGAGCCTATAGAAATTCACTGCTTTGAGGAAATTTTAACTAATCATATTGATTGAATTATTGTGTTTTGATGTGAGATTTAGTCACTTGATTTCCGCCCTTCCGAGAGCAATTTGACGGGATTAGTTTGTACGCACACCTCCCCCCTCCTTTTACTCCTCACGTCCCTACCCTACACACCTTACCATGCGCTTTGCCCATGCGGAAATACGTTCAGCAAATATTTAATTTTGCGATTATCTTCACTCCTATGCTTCCAGAGTTTGGAGAAATTCTTCCATCTTCACTTCGCGGGTCTGTCTTCTCTTAGGCAGAAAATGAGAAATGGAGGGGGCTTTACGTCTAGTCTTTCTCTCCTGAAGAGAGAATTTTTCCAACAGCCATTTATATCAGATGAAAACGAAGGAATCATCAACTTTTGATTTTAAGCACTTACTTGATGTGAAATTAGCGCTACGCGTTGTTTTTATAACAACTTTGATCCGGTAAATGCCTATATACGTACCTGATTACCCGCACCTAGACGTCGCTCAAGTTTCCTTGATGGCGTCGTTCGATTCAAGAATCGCATCCAATCAATCAATTTATCACCTTTTTCAACGGCTGCTACAACTAGGCAGGAGTATGAAATTGGCGAATGTTAAGAAGCGGGGAAGATGGGCTTATTCTGGAGCGGCGAACGAATTGAAATTGCAATGTCATGATGTCGGTGTTTTTCCCGAGGTTAAAACTTGCTCGCGAATATCGCTCTACTCTAAACCCTGAGAGAGAGAAAAAGTCGGCAAAATTCTTTAGAAATATCATTCTTGGGATGCCTTCATTGTTCTCCGATGACCCCTCCCTTCAATATTTACTGGTCAGGACGGAAATAAATCAGGGAAAACTCCCGGTCAGCAAGCTAACGCTAAATCCCCTTGTAAGAACATAACTTCAAGCCGAGATTAAAAACACAGCTTTAGATTTGAGGGATACAGGCGGAAATACAAATTGGAAAAAAACAAGCAAAGCAGTGTTTTGGAGAACTTTGGCATGAGAACATTGCCTTTTCTTTAATTTCTAGTTTCTTAGAAATCGCTGATTTTCTCTTTACTTTCACTTTCAGTTCTTTATTTGAAAACCTGCTTTACATGCACTTTACAGCAATTGCTAAATCATCCTTATATTTTAATAAGTCAGTATGAAGATTAAACCAGGCACATGTCGAACTGGAGAGACCGTTGTATGGTTTCCCCAGTTCTCATTCTGTCCTCCTCGATCTTTTCGTGGCTCTAATGTCAATGGACAGCTGCTTACAGCGGGAAAATCAGACAAAGCCAGGCAGATGTCTGAATGCAATTGCATACAATGCGAATTAAGTGAGGTAATTTCCGTATTAAGCAAGTGCAGGGGTTATCATGAATTATGAGTGTCTTTCCAACGTAGCAAGTTCAAAAATTTAAAGTAAAAATGCCGATTTACGACTGTGAATACGATGTTAGGGTAGTTTCCAAACGGAAGCACAACCAACCATGCGTTAAATTAGCAACCTTTTCTCTACCAATTCATATTTTAACTTCATACATTTCAGTGCACATAGAGAGCGCGAAGCATACCCAAGAAGCCTGGGTAAGATTTGATGCCGAGGAAAGAACCGGGTACCAGGCTCCTAAAAGGGATTACTGCCGGACACCGCACACACAAATTCAACGTGCTCCAATCTCTCATCAACTGATGTTCAATTCTTTTTGCAAATATCAATTAAAGTTACACTAACAAACAAACTCAGTTCTCAATTGTTTTATTAACAAAAATAATAGTAATAATAACTAATGTGCTAGCGAGGATCAGCCTCTCGTGTCGATTTTTATCTAGAAAGGCGAATTCCTAGTCTTGATCAAAATGAAAAGTATATCCTCTGTTGATTAAAAAAAACTCGGGAACTAGGGATGATAAATAGGCCCTGTTTTACAGGAACTTACAGACTTTAATCAAATACTGAAAAAATAGAAGAAAAAAATGGCTTCACATTGTAGAAGGGACGACTCAAGATATTGAGGGTAATCTTAAGCGTCATATACGAAATTGTCTTTTATTACAATTAGACTTATAAATAATCGTTTGAGAGATTGAACAAACATAACAAAGAGGTAAAATGAAGCAAAAAGAACGAGAATGGTAAAGGATCACATAGAATGAAGATGATCAACAATAAAAATGACGGCTTATCAGTTTCAGGATAATTACACATTTTCTAAACAATTCGTACTGCGAGATCACATTGACTTGTCCGCCCGCAGGATCGCTGGGTCCAACCCAGTAAGTTCTTTGTAAAGTTCTTCTTGGGCTGCAAGTACAACCTGTTAACCACAATATTTATCTTTGACGAAATTTAATGATTAAAAGATGAACAGTGCTGGAAAGAGTCTATCATTTTTATCATTCTCTTTGCTCCGCCACAATTCTGCTAGCAGCGGATTAACATTTCTCACCTCTGTTCGGTTTAACAACTCTGATTCTGACTGACTCTGATTAACTTAACTTTATAATTCGCTATCGGCAGGCATGAGTAAGCATGCAGGCCAACTGACCTTGGAAGATTAAACATTCATCGATCGTCAACAGAACCCTAACCTAGGCACTTTCACGAGGATCTCACGGATGAACGAAATATTATTTAATGCTTCCGATAAAACAATCAAATTTTGAGTGCAAAAGCCAAACCAAGAACGTAAATGTACACCTAGACAAGGTCAGCTGACGAACAGCACCTCCATTAATGGAAATTATTAATGGACGTTAGACAAGAACATTAAAGTTGAGAAACTCAACTTCATAGCTGAAACCCAATAAAATCTGACTTTGATTTAAAATCTTAACTTAATGCTTAATGTAAAAAAAAGTCAATACATCATATCTTATCAACCTGTTACATCGCAAAAGTACTGTGGTTAACATTCAATAAAATATATTATAAAAGGTGAAAAATTTAAACTCTACCTGACCCCTGCCAGTTGTTACACAAAATGGCATTGGGACTCGTTATTTTCATTTGATTCGTCCATATAGAGATTGTGGAGCGCTCCTCTACAAAAAAACTTAAATGAGATATATCTAAAGCCTCTGCACTTGTTCAGTTGTTGAGACTGTAATCCTTTGATGGTTAAATACCACCGAGGAAGGGGGGAGAAGGGTGGAGGGGTGAGGGGGGGGGCAGGATGGTGAACCAGTTCAGTTGACTGTTTACAAAGCAAAGCTGAGGCGTTGTGGTTTATCTTAACTACCCATCGGGTAAAACATCTTGTTTAGTGGCACATCAATACCTCAACCCTTTGGTCTTAACTTCTGGCCATGCCACTTACTGAGCACAAAATCCACCAGCTAACAAGGGAAATAGAACTAATCACAAGAACACTAGTCTATCAAGTGAAAATCTATTTCCGGAGTGTTCTCTCCAAGCAAGATAATAAACCTATCTCAGATTAACGACGACAGCCAATTAATTATTTCTCGTCCTCAGATTTCTTATCTTGATAAGACATAAGAACACAAGATTCTTTGTCTTGTATCTTCTTCTTTTTCCAGGGGATCCTTGACTGCACCTATTCAAGAAAAAGACAGTTACACTTGTACTTAATTACAACGCGGCACGAAAGTCCAGTTATCATAATGTAAAAGGATTTTGACAGGAGCATATTTATGGATCCTCGAACATCTTTTAATTTTGTAGGCTCAAAGAAATATGCTTCTGTTGATAATTCCCTTAATGCAATGCGAGTATCTTACGTTTGACACAGGAAAATTTTGCTTTCCAAATCATTACTCATTGTCATTATTGTTATTCATAGTCTTAATTAAATAAATTCGTCTTTGAGCTGGGGCTGAAATTTGAGTGAAGAAATGATCCTCGTAGAAGGGTTTAAGAGAGTTTAGAGTTTAGATAACCTCTTTTTCAATTTACATTACTTCATTTTATCTAAGTAGTGATCAGATTCCTCTGTGGGAAGGAGGAATGCACCAAAATTTGCTTGCTCCCAAAATATGGCTTTGTAGCTTAGCTGGTAGTGGCGCCCACCTAGTATATGGGAGGCCTGGGTTCGATTCCCATCGAAGCCCGAATTTTTTGTCCGACTTCTTTTCTGCAATGGCTTCAATTGCAGCTCACGTGCGTGGATCATTTCTATACATGAATTATTTTTATTAATTATCACGCTCTGGTTGGTGAATGTTGAGTCGACCTATCACGATAAACTCATATCCTACTCTCGTTTACTTTTGAATTATGGTTAGGGGAAGTTAATGTTTGTTAGATAAAATCAGTAATCACAACATTTGTTGCACAGGTGTAACTCAAGTTGTCTAACGGCTTTGTTAAGGGGTGCTTTGATTCTATACATAGATAAAATCATCTACTACCTTTGTTATAAACTCTTTTGGCCGGGCCCCTTCTGTACTTGATCTGGGTTTCTGTTCAAAAGAGAAAATTGAATACACATTACAACACAGTCATTTCCAAATAACCTCGCAAAGGGCAGGGAACGGTTCGTAGATTCATCTTGTTATACAGTGATTCCCTCCCTGTGTTCACTCTGTTCAAAAGGAAATTGAAGCCAGTCAACAACAGATCCACTTTTATCAGTCAGAGAAACTTTTTTCTTAAAAATAGATCAGACAAAACGAATTGAAACTCGAACAGAAGCTCGTGCAATCTGCTATTGACAGAAAACTGCAAAGGAAGGAATCACAATCTTTAGAGTGTCGAGAATACTATCGAAAATAAAAGTATGTATAAAAACAGGAAACATTTTAAACACCTGAAATGGTATCGGAGTTTGTCTCTGAGAAGGAGATGTTTCAGACTTCTTCAACTCATCTCCCTGTAAATTGAAAAGAACAAAATAGGGTTGAAAAAACCATGATCAGGCGATAGCATAGTGCATTGCTAAATCCAGCATATGACTTTTCGTCTATGTAAGCGATGTTTCTAAAGTTCATAAACAGTTCATAACGACGAAAATACAAAGCATTACCCAAAATAACTTATTCCATGGTTTCAAATGTATAGAACGGGCCAACATTTTGCTATTTACGTAGTATTTTTTCTAAGCCCCGTAAGGGCGAGGAAAAATGTGAGCACCCACACGTACTCGATGTTTCTAAAGCTCGTAAATACGCACCCTAGTGTATTACAAGAACTATATTTTATCATTTATACAAGAGGGGGAGGGTCATGATATTTTAGGCCAAGCTCAAGGGGAGGGTTAGCAAATTTCACTCCCATTGCAGGGATGGGTCACCTAATTTTCGTTTAAACGTCCCTAAGCGATGTTTTAAAACGACGAAAATACAGTGCATTACCCAAAATACCCTATTCGATGGTTTAACATATGAAACGGATGGACATTTTGCTATATCCACGATGACTAATGCGAGCAATGAGCAAAATATCCTCTCGTATTAATTGTAAGTCATCGAGTAAAGTTTTCTTTGGTCTACTAATTTCCAGTACTTTGGCTTCTAGTTTTCGAAAGCCCAAACTTATCAATGACCCATCCATACTAAATTAACAATGAACATCTGAGCATTTAAAAAAATCTTACAGAGTGGCGTAGAAAATGTTTTCCTTGATAACATACCGGAGAGAAAAGCCGTATCCAAAGTTTCTCCAGCTGCATAATTTGATTTTTCCTGCCGTTTTGGTACGATACTAGGTTTTTCAGATTTCTTTTCTCCTCCTCTGACATGTCATCCTCTTCCGACTCTAGGTCCTGCAGACGAGCGCTAAGATCATTATGCACTGATCTCAGGCTGTGGTAGGTAAAGTCGTAGAAAGTTCTCCTAAGAATATGGTTACAATAACAAGCCTCTCTTGTTATTCCGGTTACTTTGGTGTACAGCTCCTGTAGAGTTCGGCTATGTTTCTCGATGAAATCCAGCTTGTTGGTCCTCGCAAAATTATCTTCCTTTAGTTCGGATATCTCCAAACTCTTCACAATGTCCATCAGCTTTCTTTGGAGATCTTTCAAATGGCTGAAAATTCTTTGCTCCTCTTCGGTAAAACCATTGTTCGCCTTTTCTGCCGATGCACCCACTTCGCCTGTAATTTCAACAGTTTCAGCAGCAATGTGGCTGCTAGCGTCAACACACTTCTTCAGTTCCTACAGCGCAGTATAAAATAAATCAACAACCATCAGATACCAATTTCATAAAACTTTTGATATTTGTTCGTCATTCACATGGTTTTTCTCTTTTATTATACCGAATAACATGGAAATGCCACCAGAAAAACCTGCTGATGCACCATTTTAAATAATGCTTTATAAACTATGAAGAACTGTCGTCGATTTCACCTTCGATCGAAAATGTCGAAAGAGATAACTGTTTTAAGAGAGAATGTGGATCTGTAAAATTGATGGTTACCTCGGGGGATGTCTTAAATTCTTTTCCCTCACTCTCCGGCCACATGAAATATATAGTTTTTCCAAAGCAGTCAATACCCAACATAACCTGAGAAAGTCAAATAACAAGTTCAGCGAACAGATAAGACTCTGGGAGAACAGAAAAAATGTTTACATCAACACAAACAAACCTCGTTGCCATCATCAAGTTCAAAGGTCCCAGTAATTTCAATCAATATCGTTCTTCTACCATTGGAAGGACCTGTAAAAAATGAATGACTAACATGTAACTTTCCCTAATTTGCTAGCATGCCTTTATTATTTGCGCTGCCGGACGAGCGTTTCTTCGCCCGCGGCGCGTCAGAAGATTTGTGACGAGTCGGAGGGAGGTCCGCCGGAGGACTGGCACTAATAATCATATAGTTAATACCAAACCCCTTGCAAACCCTCGTGCTGGCTCGCTTTACTCAAGGAATCAGACTTTCTCGCTGCCTAAGAAATTATTGTGTCGCGGCGTAGAAATTAGAACCAGCTCAGGCTAAACTTCTCTTCGCAAATTCAATTTATTGTCAAACAGACAGAAGAAGGTAATTTCAGCACAAAAAGGGCCAGGAGTTGGTTGCTTCATCAAAAAAGGACTTTGTAGATTTAGGCTCCCTTACTTTGAAAGGGGCTTACTGAAAAAGGGTGCTTTGACGGAAGGGGTTAGCTCTCTTTATGGCACATACCAATCAATCTTTCAGCCAGATTTTTCAGTTCGGTTTTTTTCAATGCATCAGCTAATTTTCCGGCAGTGGCACCTTCTTGGCCTTCCCTCTCTATCCATCGCACCAAAAGATGGAAGGAACGTTCACTTTCTTTTTGATTTTCATTCTGAATGGCTTCCACTACCACCCTCTTAAAACCCAAATTTCGGGCCAATTCTTTCCATCTGCTTCCAATATCCTCGTGAAGGTTGCGTTCGTGAACGAGAGCCTCGGTTAAAGGTTGTAAGGGATCCAGTGACACAAAAGAATTTCCTAAATGATGTAAAACGCAACAGATATCTGGCACCACTCTTGATAAAAGGATCATCATAAAAATAAATATAATCTTGTGTCGCCTCGAACATTCATGCGTGACAATTTCAATGTAAGCTGTCGAATTATTACGCGACATTATAATGTAAAAGGAGGGAATGATTAAGATAGACGCAGAAAAAAACGACTTCACATGAGCTATGCGGGACTGCTTATTCCCGTGAAAAGCAATGTAGATTGCCTGTGTGTGATGTTCGTTTTGATAATATTTAAAGGAATGCGATGAGGTCGACAGCTGTGATGTGTAAACTAAACTTACACGATCAAAATAAACATGCTTAAATATGTAAATATGTCTAGGCTTAAGATTTTGCTCAAACCAATTTCTTTACTCGCAGTTCAAGGCTAGATTACGAAATAGAACTACCTTTGTGAAGCTAGTTATGTGATTCTTTGCCAAAATTCACTTTTTTACGTTACGACTTATAGCTTCCGGGTGAGTTGGCAAAGCACATTGGTTACGAGTATTTAAAGATGATGAATCATTGAATTCCATTGAATCCCCATTAAAAAGATCCGATTACTTTCTAAAAACGAAAGTGCAAGTGCCATGAAAAAAAAAACCTTCCCTGTTTATAACAAAGGTGTGTGATGAAATATTGACTCACAAATAATTACCACAGCTAGAGAACCTGGGCCTTGACACGCAATGATTTATGAACATTAAGACCAGTAATAGTGGCTGACCAGTGATGTTGTGACGTAAGGTGTTTTAATTTCCACGCTTCAGACAGCTTAGTCTGTTGACGCTCGGGACAAGTTTCGACGCACCATCTCCCCCTCTCCCCCTCCCTCTCCACCGTTATTAAACACCTAAGCTTCCTTCCCCAACCCACAGCAGACCCTTTTGCCGTTGAGGAAATAAATTAAGCGAATATTTGATTTTGTGATAAGCTCCATGCTTACCCGGTATTTGAGTCATTCCTCAAGCTAATAACAATTCCTCAGATCTTTTCGTGGTCTGTTTGGAGGAAGTCCCGCGCTATTTCCTAAAATAGAATGCTTTGAATGGTCAGTTATGTCAGATTAAATGGACGAAATAACAGGCTTCAATTCTAAGTTCTTAATTACTGTTAACTTAGCGCTGTTCAGTTCTTCATGTACCAAACTTGATCCAATAAATGCAGTTTTTGTACCACTGACTTCAGTCGGAAAAGGCAAATGGGCAAGTGTCCTCTCGATGACGTGTTTCGATTCCTAGTGCTGTTTCAATCAACTCCTTTAAATCATTGTGAACAAAATTATTACCTCTTTCCTTCGATCAACTGCTGCTCCAATGCAACAGAAGTAGGAAACTAGAACAAAAAAGCTGAGGAACGGCGAAAAAACGGCGCGCTGAAGAGACTTTTCATGCAATTTCCGTATTACTCTCATAAGGGAAGTTGGGGTTTGTCCCACGATAGTGGTATGCAGTAATAACCATTTATTCTAAGCTCTGAGCGAATGAAATCAAGGGCTTCCCAAAGAGAGCTGGCACGTCCTGTCAACATACTTAGTAATCCATAATGACCTCAGTATATAACTGTCAAGTTACCAATAAATTTTCATATCCATAACACTGAAAAAGTAATCACGCAGGAAAACTACCAGAGAGCGACGAGCCCTTCATTTTCTTAATCTTAACTTTTAGGCCGAATTTTGGACCTAGAAAGTAACGTTTAGTTTTGAAGAATTCAATGCGGTAACATAATCTACGGCAAAATAGACACCTATTCCCGGTGAGGGGTCAGTTTCACCTCTTTAAGAAAAACAAACGCAATTGAACCAACTTTACATAGATACGAGGATTATGGGAATCAAGTAGTTCTTAGAACGTACCGGAGAAGCGAAGTTAAACAGATGCTTAAAGAATTGAAAGCCTCTAATTGTTTTTAACAACGAAGAAGCCGTCAACGAAGCATGACTTCAAATGAATTGTGTGCCGGACTATTTACATGGTGCTTTAGTATTATCAACTGAGTTTATACGTAAATTGGCCACCGTATATAAAGAGTTTAAAGGCCGAAGTTTCGAGCGTTAGCCCTTCGTCAGAGCGAAGTAAGCACCCTCAAGTAAGTACCGCAGTCGCTCTGACGAAGGGCTAACACTCGAAGCGTCAGCTTATAAACTCTTTGCGGTGGCCAATTCACGTTATCAACCCATTTGATAATACTAAACTACCCTGTTATACTCTCCCACCGACGCAGCACCAGAGTTTATTTAGAAAATTACCCCCTTTATCCATTTGACTATTTATATATCTACTGTCTCCTAAGATTCAAGGCTAGATCACAAATTCAGGCGGCATCTTTGTCACGCTAGTCTAAAGTGACCTTTCACTGAATTCAGAGTCAGTTCTGACTGAGATAAGCTCTGTTGACTGATGAACCATTTACTTCTGTTGTTCTATGATAACAGAAATTTCGATCTATTGACCTAAAGGGAACATGCATGACATCTTAACAAAACCAAAGAAAAACTTCTGCTACTTTCAAACGGTTTGTTCATTAAGAAATTTCGCCGCGCAAGAAACTAAGCCCAGGCATGCACTGATTTGAGAACTTGAAATATTTACCAATCAAACTGACTGGCTCGTTACATAGTCATGTTGGATTTATTCATTTCCGTGCTTCGGACTGATTGGTTTGTCAGAGAAGAGTTTGTTGGAACCCTCCCCTCCCCCCGAACTCTACAACTCCCTACCCTACCCAAGCCATGCCTTCCTCATGCGGAAATACATGTTGTACTCAAATAATTTTACGATAGTCTCTATTCTGAACTAAATTTTTAGACAATTTTCTTGCTCAGAAGAACTCCTCCCATGAACTGTGTGCGGTCTGTCTCGGGTTTGTCTTTCCGTAGGTAGAAAATGGACATCGCATGGAAGATGCCCGGCGTTCACTCTCATGTCAGTTATGACGATCAAAGCGAGCAAATTGACAATTTTGGATTGTAGGTTCCTAATTGACGTCAAATTAGCGTAGCATAGTCGTTTAAATATCAACATAGATACCGTTAAATGCCAATATGCGTACCTGATTACCTGCAGTTAGACGTCGGGCAAGTGCACAAGTATTTCCTTGATGGCGTCGTTCGATTCACGAATTCCTTCAAATTAACAAATTTATCACCCTTATCCACAGCTGCTATAACTGGACAGGAGTACGAAATTGGCGAGTGTTAAGGAGCGGGGAAGATGGACTCATTCTGGAGCAGAATTGAAAGTGCAATGTTGTGATTTGTTGTCGGTGTTTTCCCGAAGTTGATCAATGACTTTTTAGGCCTGAAGCGGAACACAACGGCGGCATAATTTAAAAAAGCTAGTATTTACTATTACTAAAGCAAGACGGAAATAACTCAGGGGAAACTCCCAGAAGCAAGCAAACGCCTGGTTCCCTTGCAAGAAGATAACTGTAAATTCCAAGCCGGGATCGAGAAAACCTCAGCTTTAGATTTGTGGAATACAAGCGAAAACACAATTTAAGACAAGTAAGCAAAACAGTGTTTTGGAGAAAGTTGGCATGAGAACAATTCTCTCATAGGTGGATTGTTTCTTACGCATCGATGGAGTCATTGTGTCTTCCAATTATATGTATGTATGCAAAGGCATTCTGCCAAATATATGTCAAATCTATTTCACCTCGTTTCAGTGTACGGTGTGCTTAGTCACCATGGAGGTATGTCACTAGTGAATCGCTGATTCATCGCATTACTTTCATTTCCTTTCTTGAAGAAAACTGCTTTACTTGCATTTCACTACCATTGTTTAATTATCAGTAAGAAGATTCAAGCTGGCACATGTTGAGCTGAAAAGACCATTGCATCGTTTCTTAGATTCTCATTGTTTCCTGCTCGATCTTTTCGTGGCTATTATGTCAATTGACGGCTGGTTACAGAAGGAAATCAGACGTAGCCGAGAAGTCTGAATGCAACTGCAATGCGGATTAATTGAAGTAGAGAAGCCTCAGGCAATGGGATAGTGAAGATGCAATCTCTACTGCACTCAACCCAATTCTCAGAATATTCCTAAGGCTTTCTCTTTTCATACGAAGTTTACACGCAAGGAGCGCATAGGGAGCGCGAAGCATACCAAATAAGGCCTGGGTAAGATTTGATACAGAGGAAAGAACTGGGTATCAGGCTCCCAACAGAGAACACCGCACGCCTAATACTGCGCGTTCCTAAACAAATGCTTTTTGCAAAATTCCCCTTTCAACTCGAGTTACCATACCAAACGAACACAATTCTTAATTGTTTTATTAAAAATGGAAACATTAAAAATAATAATGTTCATAACTATTGTGCTGGCGAGGACCAGCCTCTTGTGCCAGATTCTATCTAGAAATACGAATTCTTCGTCTTTATCAAAGTGACGGCTACATCCTTTAATAAATTTTTAACACTACGGAAGAAAAGACAATACATAGATCCTATTTTACAGGGATCAACTGACCCATAACTAAAAAAAGGAAACGTCAATAACAACGTCAGTTTCAATTTAAATGGGGTGAGCTATCGATAGCGTAAATAAAAATAAAAACAAATAAATTAACTTTATTCGAGTGTCGTGTAACTTTAGCATGGTGTTGCTAATTGGGGACACTGTAACATAAATAACAAAAAAATAAAAGATATACATTAAGACGTGTGTGAATTAAGTAATCATTAGCGTCATGCAGCGTTATCTTTAACTACCAAAAGACGAACATTTTACGCAACTACCACTTAGCTACCCAAACTTCAGTTTCAGACACAACTACTGAACAATGGTTATAATGCCGTAACTGATTTCAGCTGTTTTGGGTCTTAGCTTTTAAAAAGTGCAACCATTATTTTTACACTTGGTAAAAATATAATTTTTGTCAACTCTTTTTTTTGTTTCATTTATGGCGATCACGAGTGTTAGCCATACAGTGTATGTCTTTTATTGCGCAGTCTCGGAACTTATTTCAACTATTTTCTAGACGATACGTACAAATCGAACGAAACACGTGAAAATGAACTATTGTTAGTTTCTACCCTCTCACAAAAAGATAACAAACAACTTTCTGAATAACCCGTACTGCTAGATGACACTATTTTGACCGCCTGCGGGGATCGCTGGGTTCAACCCAGCTTGGTAAAACTTCTCTTTGACTGCACGTACAGGTTAGCGGTAAAAAGTGCATTTAAAAATGTCTTTTAAGAAGGAAACATTGCGTTGAGTGCTCACTGAAATTGGCGGAATTGCATAGGTACAACAAAAAATAACGATAAAATTCTAAATTAGTTTTCCTTGGTTTTTTACGCACAGATTTACGGTCATAATTTTTGCCATACGATATTGTAGTCGATAAATGTAATAATTTTAGAGTCAAGTCATTGGACAGACGGAATTTCACACAGAAATCGATCGTGTATGAAACGTACATTTTATGCAGCGTACTAATATTGTTGCTATTGCTCTTCAGTTCATTACTGCTACTTAAAACTTTAGAACAAATTTGCAATGTCATGCCCTAGCGAGACGAAAAAAGCCGTACTAAAGATATTTCTAAGCTCCTACAAAAGATTAAAAAAACTTTTGATACAAAACTAGAGAAAATCTTCATCTATTTACATGTACCTAAACAGAAAAACACTGACTAAACTAATGAAACAAGTATCTGCCAAACACTATTATTACATAGCATTGCATATCATAACCACACAGAAACAAAGATATGTACCACAGTTAATAGTCCATGTAGATATTATACGTGCAGAGTGTGAGTTTTTACAGCTGATGCTGTTGAGGACAAAGATCTCACTTCCATGAGCCACCTATATAATCATCTCTTCTGTGTCTGGATCTGAAACATGACCAAAACAATACATCAATAAACAAGAAAAAGCAGTTTTTTTCTGTACTACAAGTGGAATATGGCATACATCCTGCATGAAAAGTCACTTCAAAGAGCACTTCCTTCTCAGTTGGAGCAATAATACCGGCCTGCTATCTGTCTTTTATGATAGAAGTCATAACAAATCACCATACAACAACAGAGTTGTAGTCTTATTGACTCAGTTTATAATAAAACTAATGGCGGCCTACAAAACAACAAATTACTGGGCAGCTAAGAAATTATGAGATACAATAAATATTCTGACAGATCCAGACAACCAGTAATTATCCTCCCTGGTTACTTATTTGCCAAGAGTTGACCGGAGTAAAGACAAAAGTAAGAACCCAAAGTTGTCTACAGAATTATGAGTGGTTCAAGTTACACCTGGATGACCAACAAGCAGGCCACCAAATCAAACTATTATCTATCCAAGTAATTTCTCTCATAAAATAATTGCAGTGAATTTATCAAGGGGGAATTTTTTACATAAACAATTCCTCTGGGAATACTCACCATTATGCCACTTAAGAGGGAGGAACTGATCATTATCATCACTGTGTGAAGTTACAGCAAGGTTTGCATAAGCTTTCTTGTGGTTGGGCTGCTCCTGGTGCCTGGAGTTCCCACCAGATACAGGACTCTTGAAGTCAGATGACATCTACAGAACAAAAGCAAACAAGCATTTAAATTGGCTTATGTTGATTGACACAAGCCTAATAATATAGCTCCCCAGCAAGCTTCTCCTAGTTTTATTATTGAGTAAAGACTGGGGGGATGGATAGCCACTGTCTTCTCCACAATGGGACAATACCTTATTTCTACCTCAAGCAATTGAACATGTGAAAGAATTTGCATATTATAACTATTAATATCATTTGTTATAATAATAATAATAATAATAATAATAACAATATTATTATTATTATTATTATTATTATTATTATTATAGGATATGGAGGGCAGTCTGTGAGACTTGCTCACACACAAAAAAATGACTTAACCCAAAGCTTGAACCAAGAATTCTTGATCCACAGTCATGACTGCAGTTAGCTCAATCAAACGCATCTATTATGTCTCCCTAAGCATCGATACCTTAATTTTTTGCAATTTGTTTCAGGAAAACACAAAAAACTCCACTCATACCATCCACCTTCACACCAACTAACCTTAAATGCTGGGACACCTGACCAGTCAAGCGAGTGAACAAAACTTGGCATAAATATGGGGTTTTCTTGTGCTAGTAAGTAGCTTTGTCTTGAGGATGATGATGATGATGACGACGATGATGATGATGATGAAATAGGATTACTGTTGGCCTTCCCTAGCTGCAGAGAAATCACAAATATTGCCATCAGATGTTATTCTGACATTAGTAGATTGGACACCTTCTTCTGCTCTGTCACCTCCACTTTCCTTTAGACAGATTTAGCCATGATGACCAATTTGTCTTTGCAAAGTAAGTGAACCTCTTTCTGAGGTATAACAGGGTAATTTATTATTATCAACTGAGTTAATAATGTAAATTGGCCACTGTAAAGAGTTTTGTTGGAGCAAATGACAAAGGGCTCATGCTTAAAATGTCAGTTTTAAAACTCTTTACAGTGGCCAATTTATGTTATCAACTCAGTTGATAATACTTAATTACCCTGTTATACTCTTCCACTGATGCAGCACCTCAGTTTCTTTACCCCCTTTGTTCCATTTCTGAGGTAGACTTTAGTTCTTCTCCCAATATTGAAATACCATTTACATATTATTTTTGCATGATGCAGTGCAAAAAAACAAGCCCTGCCTAATTCATAACTAAAAATGGTCAATTAATTTGTAAATACCTTCTTCTTGGCCCCAGAAGTGGTCTTTTTGCTTTTCAAAGACTGAGTAACTTTTCGTCTTCTACCAATACCAATTATCACATTTAATGCACACTGCAGGTAGGAAGGAAAAGTACATTGTGAGTTTGGAGGGAATTAACAAAAATCAGTGTAAACTTGGTTCCAATGCAATCAATAGTTATTTGAAAACTAAAAATAAAAGATTTTACCATCAGTGGTCCTTCAATGTGATCATTGTCATCAGAGTCCATTGTCTCTTCAGAATGCTGACACATGCTTTGTCGTCTCTTACTATCCAAGTGCATTTCCCGATGCTCTTCGCATACTGAATATGTCCTAGTTGCTAAGTTGAAGATTCTTTCAGAGGGAATACCACTGATTGAGATTCGCCTGTTTCTGGTTTGGCTCATCCTTTCCAGTTCATAGTGTAAAAGAGTCAACTCTTTTTGGACAAGGTCTTGTTTTAATGTGTACTGTCCACAGTTTTGACAGCTGAATTTTTGTCCAGAGATGTACTGATGCTGATTCAGCAGGTGGTTCTGGAGTTGTTTGATGACAGCAAGCAGATTTTGTATCATCTTTTGCTTCATTTCTAAGTCCTTGAGAAATTCTTCAGTTTTGCGCAAACGCTGGCTTTGTTTTCTTAGCACCTGACAATCTATGCACTGTTGAAAAGTAATAAGGGAATGACAGGTTAAAAATTTTAATTGCTAATTACTGTCAATCTTATGAGGGAATCTTTCCACCCAGATCATGAAATAAGTACATAAGTACATCTACAGGTTGGAGAACACATTACCCTGAACTGTTCAGAGTTACAAACAGAGAATAATACAAGAGATTGTAAAAGTAAAGGTGATTTCTGGAAAAAAATACCCTAATGCCACTTTCAACAATTAAATCATTACCAAAAGCTTGTCTCTGACAATACTAATAAAGTGATTTTTTTTATACTCATCCCATAGTCTTACACCCATTTTGCCACATAGAATTAGTAGCTTTAGCATTAATTCAGTTGATTAGTAGAAAATGCATATGGACAATATACAAAGTACAGTGTATGTTGGCCTCACCTTTCTCACAGCATAAGCCTCCACTTCACCCTCTTCTTGTTTGAGGACCAACCTTTGGGATGTCACTGTGCTTAAACACACAAGAACCTTTAAAACGGTCAGAGATCAGACAATGCCTGTTAGTACACAGCTTGATTCAGATGCTCCAAGCATTAAAATCTTGCCTTCATCTGAACTACTGCATTTGATAAATTAATATTTATTTTAACCTGTAATTACCCAGATCTGACTGTTAATTCTCCCTTCTAGCTGCTACACATTCCCTTTTAACTTAGTTACAAGAATTTGGTGTCAGATCAAGATAACAACTTATTCTGGTTGCCTGTTTGCAGGATAATTTATGGATACTATTGGGAGAAGTTACATGTCAATCACTTGCAAGCTTGTATGAAATTATTTTAAGGGGGGATAAGATGCATCAAATCATAAAACCATGGAACAAGGCCATTTTGACTGTTTCCAGTGAGTGTTCATGTACAACAAATAAGTTACATGTATAATAATATACATGAAAAAATTTCTCAGTTCTGATTGGTTAAGTTAATGCATTTTTCAGGTAATTCAGTGCAGAAGAGGGTTAACTCAGTGCAAAGAAGTACCAAACCAGACATTCTCATTGGTCAATAATCAAAGAAACTCATAGAGAGCCAATCAAGTGCAAGCCTTGGATGTCACAACATTTAGATGCACTAAAAATTTGCGAGCAAAACAATGGCTGACATATCAAGTAGGTTTTCTTTCGCCACTGCAACAACAATATAGTGGCTCACCTCAACAACAATAAAGTGGCTGAAAAACAGCTCTAACAACAAAAACACTGTAAAAAGCACTGCTTTTTGGGTTGTCGGTTTGGAAAAAAGTGGTGTTTAGTGTCATGTGATTACCTATACAAATGAATCCAAGTGCTTTTGTATTAAGCTGCTTTATTGTTTCAGCAAGAGAATCATGTTAAGCAACAGGAGAGACTTCTAAATGTCTCAGTCGGAAAAAAAACCAGGCCATAAAAATTTACCTAAGAATTCTGCCTGATAGCCTGAGAATTTTATGATCTCCCATAAATAATGAAGACTTTGTTTTGATTAATACTAGCATTTGATGAACCATTCATATTGGCCACTAAATTATTTTATTGCAATTCTTTTTGCATCATTACCTTTTTATCTTCACTCAACACCCTCTCTACTTTTAAATTCTCAGGTTCTTCCTTCCAGTTATATAGGATACTTTCACTTTTAATAGCACTGTCTATCACTAGATGTGACAAGCCTTGAAGCGAAGGAACTAAAGTCATCAACTTCTTGGCAACATCTGTGCGCTTAATATGCAACACTGACAGAAACAGCTTTTGAGGAGTGGCAGCTTCCCCAACCTCTGCTTTCCACTTCAAAAGAAACTGGTATGCTTTCTCTCCAACACCCTTGTAATCTTCATCAATGTTATTGAGAATGCATTCTCTTTTCAGCATATAGCGTCCAAGTATTTTCCAAGACACACCAATATCTTCATGTATATCACCAAATATAGATTCCATGGAAGGGTCAGAAAAAACATCCTGGTATGGGGCTAAAGAAAAAACACAAAGTTAGTGCAATCCTTTTTAACAATCATTTTTTTTCTTCATTTCAGTTTCAAGTACACACACATTCTCTTAATGAAAATTTTTGCTAATATAGTATAAGGGTGATACTGGGGAATATTGGTCTGAGCTGTACTAATACAGACTGACTGCAGCCAGGTTTGTACAAGTCAAATACAACTGAGGGCCAAATAACCTCACTAGGGTACTGTGAGTATAAGTAGTCTTTTACATGGCACTCAGACAAAACTCCCTTATTTTAAGTTTGCTAGCTTTTGCACACAAAAATTAAATTGCTAATGACTATTACCAGGGAACAGTCTGTATGGCAAAATCCCAACCAAGTAACAACCAGACAGAGTGCTCTGATTTACTACAGGTCTACCTTGCCATATAATGATAATAACTATCAACAAGTAAATATTAAAGCACCTAAACAGCAAAAGAAAGATTCACACTATAGCACTACATTGCACCAAGAAAAACATTCAAAATTTAATATAACCACAACATTGCTTACACAATGTTTAAAATATTTCTTAAAACTCTCCACACATACCTGCTGGGAATGAAAACAATTGTTTCTTTGCTTTTGGCTTTGGTGAGCTGGTAAGTCGTGATGAAGGAGGTGGTGACATCCAAGTTTGATCACTACTGGAAAGTGAACTGGATGACAGTGATAATGGTGAGAAAATGCCAGAGTCCCAGGAATGAGGAGACTTGTTCAAATATTCTTCAGCAACAACACAATCATCTAGAGAGAGAGGTCGCCGTGAACGAGACTGTGTCAGTGGTAGGTATTGCATCATAAGGTTTATCTTTTGCAACTTCATTTCATCATCAAAGACATCTTCAGCACCTGAAAAAAAAATGCAGTTTGTAGTTTCCTCATTTTTAAATAATATTTAATCATTTGTTAGAAAGGAAGATAGAGGGTTTATATGTTTCAATGGCTGATAATTTTTACCTTTTGATATAAGAATGTGGATTTTACTAGTCAAGCAAGGGCAGCTATTAATTAAGTTAATCAACAGGAAGTCATGTCTACCAATTTGCTATTTTGTTTTCAAATTTATTTACTGGTGTTGCTTGACAACAAGTATATTACCCATAATTTATTAGGAAACAATAACATCATTTAAATACAAAAAGAAATAGTTTACTAGTTAATTCACCATAAAATCATATAGTCTCAATTTTCATTAAAATGAGGCCTGAGGCAACTTGATCTAGCAACTAATGGGATTGTAATTTAACAATAGAACTTGCAAAACTAACAATCAAATATTTTCCCTGATTTAAAAGTGTTTTCCCTCTAGTTCTATAGAAACGTTATAAAAACACTCAAAGGTTACACCCATGTGTTTCCTTCTGTTATCACTACGATAAAAAAAAAAAACCAAAAAAAAAACAGTATATCTGTCTTTGTTTTTCTCCGTATCATGACTCAGCAGCATGCTTCATGATCCAAATTAGGAAGTATTATTTTTAGGCTGAGCAGGAGCTGGACAGCAAAAGATAAGAATTTGCCCAAGGTCACGCAAAGACTGTAAATTGGCAATACTTCCGCGAAAAACTCATTTTCACTCAATTAAGAGATTGAAAAATTTATAACAGGTCGAAAAACTGGCTTACACGATTCGCGTATGACACAATTACTTGCACAAGCCTGTAGAACTAATTCCGATTTGATATTGTTCGCTGTTTCAAATATGCTTTATCGGCAAATACTACAGATAATGCGATAAAATAAGTAAATTACAAACACAACATCTAACCTTCCACCGGGTTAGAGCAACAACTCAAACTAAAATTTCCTACGAGCTGTAAAGATAGAAATGAAAATATGCGCGACAGAAAACATATGATTTTCTGTCCAATTACAGCTGATAAATATGCATTTTCATGAGCAAATAAAAAGGCAAAACTCAAGGGCATGAATCTGAATTGAACGAATTAATCAAAGTACCCCAACTAATACCATGATAGCTGCGTCCAAAAGACAATTGACGATTATTAGATTTTCAAGTTGAAACAAGGAATTATAACCCCAGAGTACTCACGCCCAAAGTGAACTTCACTTCAACTAACAACACCGATCGACATGCGTTCATTGTGGATCTCAGATACTTCGAATTTTATCTCTGGAAAACTTGGGCCGCTTTTCTAGGATAAAAAGTTCAAACATCATCCGTATGACGCAAAAATTTCTTCCAACGTAACCGCATGCATTTGCGAATCGGTTTGTGTGGGTGAACTTCGCGGTTTTGATTCCCGCATCCGTCGAGCGAAGTTCGTAAACAAACTTCTCGTATTTTATCTTTTATTCTCAGCACCTTTACAATTATTGCGCCTTCAGTTAACTGAAAAGCTGTTAATGGGAATGAATACCCCGAGAGTAATTAGGACATCGAGTTTACCTACCAGCTGGGCAGGACAAGTTTGGAGCACTAATGCCCAAAGCACTTGCAGCCATTTTGACTTTCAGAGGACTTAACCACCTTTCCTCTGCTTTTCCGCTTTTCCTTTGGACGAATACCTTTCGATGCCAACTGTTACCTCCCTACATTGACTTCAACTTCGAAAAGATAAGCCAATGAGGTGGTGATTCTCTTGCAACAGGAAAAAAATTTCACTTAGACGTAAAACCTCCCCTAGATCAACCCTGGCCTTTGCGTTACTATGAACATTACGTCAGTGATATAAATAAATCCGCCAATTACAGGTCTTCTTTAAAAAGTAAAAATAAATCTGTTTCTGAAGATTTCGAATAATTTGTCTACAAAAAATTGACTCGTAAAACAATATTTTACGGTGATAGTCTAAAATATACCATCAGCTGATCGAAGAAAAGTATATAGGCTAATTTGTCAACTTCACCCTCACTACCCCACAGGGTAGGATATCGGCGCTATCGTTCAGGTTTCCAGATTTCCGAGAAAACAACACTAAACCACCTCAAATGTCGCGTGAAAGATATTAGCGTACAATAACCGTAATTTCGTAACTCGTGCTTACGTAAATAAAGGTCAAACAGACAAGGGTTTTTTTTCCACGCGCTGAAACAAAAGAGTTTTGAAACTTCCTGTTGAATAGCCTGAAAAACGACAAACTTACCCGGAGCTTTTCCTCTCACTGATCCCATCATTTTCCGCAATGAAGACTAAATTTTTAGCTTTAATATTATTCTTAAACTCTGGTTTTAGAGGTATTCTCTTTTCTTTTTCCCATTCTCATATTTTCCCCTTCTCCTTTCACGTGCACATTTTTTGCCCCCCCCCCCCCGAGGAAACATCTCTTGGAATGCGCACACCTTGTAGCTGACATTTGCTTCTGATCTCATCTCTCGCATCTCAAATCTCTATCGTCGCCGCGCAAATATTTTCTTGGTTAGCGAAATCTCCACTTTGAACGAGCTTTTCAGATATCTCTGATTACTGTTCTGTGCTCCAATTAGGGTCAAGTTTGTAAATGGGCGAGCGTAACAGAAATGTTGACTACCAAAGAGACATGAAATTATCTAAGTAGTCTGGCAGGCTATGGACGAGTCAATAGTTTCAAGAATAACGGCTATAATTTGAAATCAAGCACTTTGAATACAGATGATCAAACACTTTTTTCGTAAAATGAAAATTTCAGATAACAGTAGTTCAGATGTGGTAATTTGGTATCAGTATCAACTGAGTTGATGACGCAAATTGGTCACCGTAAAGAGTTTCAAAGCTGTTCGTCAGAGCGAATGCCGAAGGGCTAACGCTCGAAATGTCATCTTCAAAACTCTCTATGTTTTCAACTCAGCTGACAATACCAATTTACCTTGTTATACTCCTCCACCGACGCAGAACTACAGTTTCTTTAGAAATTCAACCCCTTTATTAAGTAGTTTGGTAATTTCGAAATTGTCTAATCACTAATGTTGAACTGGTGACTGGTTCAGTGATCACGGAAGTGACTGAGTCTTGATGTAGATTCTATTTAAACATTACAACCCAAATTAGTAATGTTAAGGAGTGTAAGCATTGTTATTAATTCTGAGTCACGCCAACGACTTCCGGTTAAGGTTTTTCAAGGACGTAAAATTTAAAAAGGTGTAATATATTTCCACAGTGAATAGGCCAGTAAATTGAAATAATTAAGTGTCATGTCGATGCCAAACGGTTCAACGCAGAAATACTTTAATTCATAAAATAACGGAGATCACAGAAGCACTCTGATTAGTTAAAAAATCAGTAGATTGTATCGAAGAACTATTAAAAGGTTTGTAAATATTATGCGTCGTGTGAGAATTAAGTGACATCTTTCTTAAACAAGATATGTGTTAAAATTTACGTTACTTTTGTGGATGCGGTTCTGACTAAGATAAACGAAGAAAGAATCTTCAAATGTCTGATTGGGTGAATGAAATATATTACCTGTTGTTCAAACAAAAAAATCGATGGATAATTTTCCAGTTATCTTATCTTTCCCCCTGATTGGATACGACGACGTCTCAGGCTTTTTTACAATATTTGTTTATATAAAGAGGCGAACAACTATTAACTATGGTGCACAATTTGCGAAGTTTTTCTTTTCGGAATTAACTGGTAAAGGCCCTTCGTCGGAAGCAATTTTCAGGCGAAAAGGCAATAGTTGTTTCGAGAAATCTATCAGTCAAAGTGTTTTCCTGACACCGGAATCAGGAAAAGCCTATTAGGTTCGCAATTACCCCCTACCCGATGTTGACGTCATCTGTGACCTGTGAATAATGGACACAAGGCGAAGTAGGGTAAAAAACACTGCTGCATGCTGATAGGTCAAGAGGAAGCTTCTTGCGACTGACGTAACATCACGAATGAGCTCTAATTGGACACTCTGTCCATTCAACTTTTGCAAAATGTCAGCAATTTTTTTTAGCAATGCCAGCGCTAATCGCTAATCTCCTACCCGGCGTTTGGTTGGTTCCCAAAAGTACTAATGCGATAGCGTGAGTAAGGCAACAATGAATTAAAGGGAGAGGTAAACAGGAGAACTGGGTAGATTTATTTATTTCTGTTTTTTCGTCACCATATTCCCACTAATAGCGTAGCTCTACTTTCTGCATGTAAACCCACACACAACCCACAATTCCTCCAATCGCTCCGACGAAGGGCTAACGCTCGAAACGTCAGCTTTTTTACCCTTTACGGTGGCCCTTCACAGTGGCCAACTCAGTCGTTAACACTAAATTACCTGCTATACTCTCCTACAGTTTCTTCAGAAACTTACCCCCTTTATTCATTTATGAACTGGTTCATTTGTTAATTTTGTTGATCCAATTAATTTAATTTTTACGCTTAATCATCACCATTGCTCATCAGTTTGAGTTTGATGTGATAACTAGCAATTTCATTCACCCAACAATCAAAATTTTCCGCTTTCCACCGTCAAGTCTGAATCATTTAAAACCGGGCAGTCACGGTACAAATGTTATTTCAGAATGTCACGTACGCGTCACGAAATTCAACCAACCTCACAAAAGAGAGTAGATTGCGAAAGAAAACAAACATCTTGGACTAAAATGTTTATTACAATGATGCATGATTATAATTCATAATATTGTAATATTTCGCAAGTTCCTTTACATCGCATGAGTCGTTTAAAATAATTTATATTACCATCAGTTCTCTTAAGAGAGGTCTTAGGAGAGAAACTCCAAAAGATAAAAGTTGAGGAAAGATGCTGAGGGGCAAAGCTACGACTGACGCTGAGGTCTTCCAAGTAGCATGTGTGGTAAGAGACATACGGTTACATTGTACAAACATAACAGTTAAGCAGATTGCGTGAAATCTCTCTTTCATGTCTATGAAAAGACGCTCTAACAAAATAAAGAATTAATAAACATTTAACTTGAATCAATAATTATCCCGGCACAATCTTGGGAATAGCCTGAATGATGCAGATGTAAACCATTTTCATGAATTTTAAGTATCTTTTTCATTTTTGACTCGTATTTTCTTCCTTTCATTCGTTTATATTAATAATTGCATGGTTTTATAATAATAACAATACGCGACACTTTGAGAAGAGTTTATGCCAAGTAACATACACGAATGCATGGTACGCCAGTTACTATGTAGATCAATAAATAATTCACACAGAATAAAGAGCCTCTTCAACTGAAGCAAAATTTCCAATTAAAGTTAGAGTTTCTATTTCAAAGAAAAGAGGATAGCTCTAGTGTAAATTTGATATTTAAAAATCGGCGCGTGGCCTGGCCCCAGTTGTTTGAACAAGTCTCATAATGAAATCCAAGACTGTCGTCAAATTTAATTTCAGAATGTTATTTTCGTTTCCTCTTTATTTCTTCCCACTTTGTGTAATTCTCAAGCTTGAAATCACACTGAGCGAAATAATCTCTGATTGGATCTAACTCTTGGATCATCCCCATTATCAAAAAGCAGGACCAGAATTAATCTCGGTCTCAAGTCGTGAAATTAACCTGATTCATCGCATGCTCTTACAAAAATTTATCCCTGAGTTATTTGTGAGCCTTCAGTTCCGTTTGTCAGTGTAAAATGACATGGCTTCTTTCCATGCGCAGGCCTCCTCAGCAGTTGCCGCTCGCAAGCTCCAGTCTCTATCGTCGGTTTTAATGAGAACTATTAGAGGGTCGTTAGGGTCTATTTCTAAGGGGCAGCCTCTCAAATAGATGGAATTGATAGGTTTCCCGCCATCAGCTTTTTTGTAATAATTAAGATATCCTGTGTCTGTGAGCTCGAAATATCTGTTGTCCCATTTTGGAGTATGATGTTTTCCTCCGCTGAGCTTGCCAAGGAAACCGCTCCGTGTGGGTTTGGGATTTGCTCTCCCTTGTGGTTTTGGCGGCAATTTGATACTCAACTGAAAAAGAAAGTTAGTTATACATTCAAACCCAAAGGAATATCAAACAATAAAATATCCTTTAAAAACTCCGCACACTGTTACGAACAGTGATAAAATATTATAAAATTATCATCATATCTTGTGAGACAACATTGCATGTAATGAGGAAAACATCCAAGACCAACAAATAAAACTCCACCCAGCGCCTCGTGTCCGAAAAAAAAAACAAAAACAAAAAAAACCGGCAGACGATTACTACTTCAGTGGATGGTTTTACCACTTTTTTAATCCGGGGTCTGGTAATAAATTTTAGTTTCCACTAAGGTTAGTCCTTAACCCCAAAGATCTGATTGTTAATTCTAACCTCTAGCTGCTACACACTTCCTTGTAAATTAGTTTAAGATAATTTGGTTTTGGATAAATGGAGCAACTTTTATCTGATCAATTTAAATATTCTCATGACCTATTTACTGGATAGCGTATGGACGTTATAAGTAGAAGTTACGTGTTAATCACCTCTGGGAGTTAAAGGATTATGATGTTTTTCTAACCTCACCACTTGAAAAAAAAACCACTTTCCTCTAAGAAAATATGATTACCTGTTTATGGATGACAGGGAGTGGTGCACGAGGAGAAGTGTTTGTATCTTTATTTGACGGCTTTCTTTCAAGAAATACGTCTCTGTTCTGAAAGAAAAAGCAGAGATATTTTCTTGAAAAAAAATACAACTCGAAGACAGCGAGAGCGGGAACTTTTCGGTCATTTGACGGTGTTCTGTTCAGTCCACGAGACTAATCGGTTAGTTTACCCTCAACGGTAATGGACCAGTGTGAAGTTCCAAAACTGTGACTGTTCAGTTTTATTTCGACTGTATTGGTCCGTATACTCCCAAATGCAGGTTGGTTACAATTGTAACTAATTGTGAGTGTCACGAGACCCGAGTGAGGGAGGGCTGTCGGGTACTTTACATTCGGTGCGTATGGCAGTCGTTATTTTATTCATCTTACTGAAACAACAGTTGTATAAAACGAGCCTAAACTATTTTTCTGTTGAATAAACATGAACACGAACAAAGAATTAACATAACTATCAACGAGTTCCTTTTTTATTAAACCTGCTTGCTCACCTCACCATTCCGACTGGTTTTGTTTCCATCAATATTGTCATGACCGGAGGTAGTTGATGTTGTCGAAAAAGAACTCATAGAGGCCACTGAAGTTGAGTCCTAGAAAAAGCACAAAAAGTAAGCGATGATCCAGTTTTGCCTCAAGACAGAACTCACACTTCACAAAATTAATATTTATATTTCAATGCTATTTATGAGAAAACACGAGTCCTAGGTGGAAGCTTTCGCAAGGAATTAAGAAGACAATGAGTAAAACGTCGTTTAGCATAGAATGATAAAAAACACTTACATTGATCGACTTCTGCCTCTGTGCGATGGCCTCACTGAAAAACAATGAGAAGAATCAAGATAACTCTACCGCTACTCTCGTGCAATAGGCAAGAAGTGCATTGCTGGCGTTAATTCTCCGCATTGGATAAGTCTGGCGAAACCACAATTGAACATATCGCAGAGAGGACCCCTCTCCCTCAATTCTTCCTTGCGTGACCTTCGTGTGAGACTTGCATTACTCAAACGCAGCGCTTTCGAACGTTTGCGTTTACTTATCGATTTACAAGCTACCTCTCTATTAGTTAAGGATAAATTGGCTGAAACATAATAGATCTCAATGCCAAGATTGCACAGAACAGCATCAGCCTCCATAAATGTTTTTACTTTTCGTTGCAAATTGGTACATCACACAAAAAAAATAATTTCTTCTAAGTTTGGTACCTTTGCCGCACCAGTGCCCCTCCGTTCAACCCTCGCGCCTTACATGGTCACACAACTGAAAACGTTGTCATTGGCCTCAATTCACATAAAACAGGTACCTTACATTACATCTCACCTGAGGCCCTCCAGTTTGATACCCTTGTTGTGCTTACTGCCCTGATTCTGTTCTTTCAACGCTTTTTTGAACTGTGTCATAAAAGTGCTGATAGGTCCAAAAATTTCCTCTGAATCACTGCTCTGAGACTCACCAAAAGAAACCTGTTAAGACAAGAGTAAACTGCCATCAGTTGGCGTAACGCTGTGCTAACCCCTTTAACCTAACATCGGTATACATATTCTCCATACTGCTCCCTATACTTTCCTTGGATGCTGACAAGGAGAATTTGTTTAACAATCAAGACCTTCTTTAGTTGGTGATCATTTCCTCTCTTCCAGTGACCTTAATGTGTAATTCAAGGGTGATATTGTACAGAGAAAAAAAATAACAGTTAGGTGTCGAAGGGTACTGTACAGAGACAAATCCTTATGGGTCTAAGACCCAACAGCAGCTAGTAAAGAAAGGAGCAGGTTTTAAAAGCAAAGCTTCTCCATTGGTGTTCTCCAAGGCATGCGCATAATTGATTTAGCCAATTAACTTGCATTTTCATTTAGATTTTCTTACCAAAACCTTGTTGTAAATCTGTTTCATCTGCTTGCACTGATCACACAAATCATTTAGCTTCTGCTCATATTCATTCACAAAGGACTGAGGGTAGATTGTTAAAGAGAAACCATACAAGGGCATTGAAATACCTCTTTATAGCACAGGAGGCCACAACTTACATAGCAACTCGAATTCGCAGGACAACAAAAAAATTGAGATGGTGAAGTCTTTGAAATCGTAACTGTTAATCTAATGCTCATTTCTCTGAAATGGAACATGCACTGAGCTTTGGTCTGGTCCATTTGATGCCTCTGCTTCAGTAGTTGGGGGGGGGGGGGGTAACCATCCTTTTCGAGGCCCTTCAGTTAAAGAACCTGTATAGGTTTCGGTTTATTGACTTGTTAGCTCATATACAACCCCCACATATTCCTCGTGAGTTTTAAAAGTTATTTAAAACTGTTACTTTAAGGTCAATTTATATTTGTCCACAAAGGCTGACCTCCATGGTGACGGCGGAGAAAATCGTGACCAAGCGTCACAGAGTTACCAAGTGTAGACAAATCGTGACCGAAGTGTGCGTGACCGAGACACTCGTTCTGGAAGCTTTTAGATATGTAAAGATGATACTTTTTAGTTTAAACTTAACGCAAAGGATACTTCCACATCGTTGTGCAGTTTGACATCCTTTGGATTTGTCTGGTTACGCTTCAAAAACAGTTCACTCGAGTGTTTCTTGATTTTAATCAGGTCCTTCTTCATCACTGCATAGTAAAAAGGAAATAATCACTAAGGCGTGACACTTTCTTCTGTAGAATCAAATAATTTATTGAATGGAACTAATCCAGGAGTAGGAGTCACAGAAAAGTAAGAAGACACCGCGGTTTCAATTAAATTCTGTTGTGTAAACTTGACCAAACATGAAGTGCTGCGTTAAAGATGAGCGGATTGATAAAATAAAACAGACTTAACAAACCTTCCACTTCAGCAAACAGGGCTTTAGATGAACCTATGTCGAGAAAAAAAGTGAGAAAAGAAAAATAGTAAGTCCTTAAATACTCAGATGCGATTGTTGCAGAGAGATCCCATCAAATTGGTCTTCTACCATACGATCTTCATCGGCTAGAGGAAGTAAGTGAGAAGAAGCAAGAAGATATCCTCCCTCTCCCTAGGCTCAAGATTTCCCTGTTTCCACCCCGCTTAGTTTAAACCAGATAATTTTCTCTCAACCTTGCTTGCACATTAACCGATATTTTCATAAGAATTAAATTTTCAATATTTTAACTCACACGTAGCAGCTTTCTGAACGGTTTTCAATTCGTCCGTGAAATTCAACGCTTCTGGATTGGACTGCTGTAGTTGAAGGATAAGGAACTTGAGGAGGTTGTACTTCTTGTTATTTCCGCGGATATCTGCCATCTGCGAATGTAACACAAAAACTCAAGAGCTCAGAATCCAGGAGTCTTTGATGAGCTTGAAAATTAGCTCTTCTAGCCTCAGTTTTGTCGTGGCCAAAAAAGCTGACTTTTGGGGCTAGCCATTTAAGAAAAAGGAGTCTATGGCTGCGCTATCCCGCGTGATTTCAAGAGTCTGCAATAAACCAATGGCTTTCAAAATTCTCGCGGCGCGCATTTCGCGAGTACTACGTGCTAGAGCAAGATAATCCACCGGCCAAAACCAAATGACAAGAACAGTTCTGCTGGTAATAGGAACAGTGTTAAGTTTGACGGGCCAATTCTGACCACTGGTGAGTCGCCCTAGTAACAGGTTACCTTTGGTAAGGAATGAAGCCTAAACCCATATGCACCTCCTCTGGTACTTCCCGTGTTCAGAATGTTTCCAACTGACAACACGTATTCCAACATGAGCTGAAAGTTTTTGCTGTTGTAAAGTTCACTGCAAGCTTGCAAAAGATTATTCACATTCTGAAAAAGAAAAAAATGATCAATATTAAATTTAACATTGACCCCGTTTGTCGAAAATTCCAACTGAAAAGTGTACAGCGTTATCTTGGGGTGTTGCAACGAAAACCACCTTCCTGAAAAAAAAAGCCGAGTTCTCACTGACTGGCGTCCTGTGATATTTCCTTTGTTCTTATTCTTGGTTGTTGTGAATACCCACAGGCGTTCTAAGGAACCGGTCAGTTTATCGCCTGGTAGGATCGGAGGATTTTGGTTGTGGCACTATTAAATTCACCTGATCCCCTCTAAGGCTCTGTAATATTCATATCTGGACCCCCTCCCCCCCCGAAAATCTTCCGCGCCGCCCCTTCTACCCCCTCGGCGATAAAGAATGACTCGTTCTGAAGTCTTTGTTTCACTTCAGGAGTAACACGTGTTTTTGAATTGTTTAAAAACCTGCTTACCATCTGCAGACGTGTGTAGTTGTTCTCGCTTGCATCAGATTTCTAAGCCATAGTAAAGATACTTACCGGTGCAAGATCTTCAAACTGTTGGGGAAACTCCATGATGACAAGCAATAAATCCAAACGTTTCTCCAGGTCGTTTATCTCACAAAGCTTATCAAGAAGAAAGAGACCAAAGAAAAATTCGATATAAAAAACCCATAACTCTTGAAAATATTACATATAACGTTTGGGGGAGGAAAACATATCTTCAATGATTCCTTTGCCTTTCAGGGCTGGGTTGTTCAAAACACGATTACATTAGCCCAAGGTTAGTGTAAATTTTAAATTCAGTTTTAGAGCTCTGCAAAGGAATTTTCGTTTGGAATTTTTTCCCACCTTGTTCCGTGTTATATTGAAATAAAACCAAACAAAACCTTAAAATATCTTTTCCGTAATACATAAAAGCCATGATCACCTTTTAATCCTAGATTGATTAACCCCCTTCGAGCAACCTTGCCCTGGGGTCCGTTTCACGAAAGTCCCGATAACTTAACAGGCCCAAAACCATATTTTAAAATCAAAATTTAAACAATAGAGAGGCAGTTTCTGGCACCCTAACCAGTCCATTTGTTTCTTTAGTTGAAAGTTTTATTATATAATTCAAAACTTTTTAAGTTACCGAGGCCCGTTTCTCTCTGTTACTCGAAGGTAACTTGACGGGCCCGTAAAACTGTTGTGTCTTCATTCAAGAGAAGGGTTTAGGGTTAAGGTGCCAGAAACTGCTATTGTTTAAATATTGATTTTAAAATATAGTTTCGGGCCCCTTACCGGGACTTTCGAGAGACGGGTTCCTGGTCTCTAAAAGCACTCTACACCCGAGTCCTTCCCTACAACTGCGAAGCAAGACCTTATTTGCCATCAAATTAAAATCAGAACTTCGCATAATTCGTTAGAGACGCCAAATGTTATTCAAATAGTGTCTTCTGTTGTTACCTTCTTCATAAATTGATCCGCTGGCACCAATGTGCTGGGATCTTCCTTGTAGTTCTTGTACATCTCAAATTCTTCAGCTGATGGAAGAAACCTAATGATTGAAATAAATCAATTTAATCCAACAACTACACAGCAATCACCTGAACAAGATTAGCATTTTGTTACCTTTTCAAAGCGATCACCTGATCCATAGGTAGGGCGCCATCTTCTTCTCTGAACACACTCAGCTTCTCGTCAATCTCCTTGGTGCTCAGTTTGAACCCACTCAGGAAAATTCCTAGGGGGGAAAAAATTACAATTATTAGAGACTAGGCGCCAGCTTTTTAGAAATTTAGAGAAGTGAAATGTTATATTTAACGCAATTCTTCTATAAGCTCCACCGCTTCTTTGCATCCTTACGGTGTCAGACGAAACAAGTCAGTTCTCAGAGTGGAAAAAATAAAACGCTTACCAACGCTCTAAAATCTTTATTTCAAAGTGCGGGTGTGAGTTTATACCACGAAACACAGTAATATAAGAATGACTTTAGAATACGAAGACTTTGTTTTCAATCAACCTTTTGACACAAGTCAATTTAGAGAATTATTCAACGTAGTGTTGTAGAAACCAAGCCGAAGTAATTTCTATGGCCAATCAGAACAAAGGCACATATTCCCAAGAGACGAAGAGAAGGGAAAGTTCAGGCGGTCTTCAAAGTAAAGCACACGCAAACCCAGATAGCACAATTCAATCGTAGTTTTCAGTTGAGTGTCGAAAAACCAAAGTTATCACAACCACCAATCAGAACATCATCATTAACCTATGAGAACTCAAAGTAAAAAGAGGCAACCTGCTTGAAGCGCGGGAAAACGCGTAGTTCTTGATTTGATTGGTTGCGATGGTGGCGCAACTTTGCTCGACCAATCACAGAGCGAATTAAAGCAAAAACTAGGCAATCCCGGATAGCTTTCGATACTCAATTGAAAACTGAACTGCTCTGGTGACAAACAATTCGTTGAGGTAACGAGGATTATCACGCACCAAGATTCTGAGCTCGTTTTGGATCCAGTAACGTCTTCACCGTGGGTTTAGCGGGGGCTGTGGAAAAATAATGTGATACATTGTTAAAAACAGTTCCCAATAAACTAAGAAAGGATGTATGCTTCACTTCATGTTTTTCTTCCTCGTGAATCAAACCCACCACTAGGTATGGGTTTTTCCTTCTCCTCTATCTGGAACATTTCTTCCAGCAAATCCAAGTTTATGCTCTTTGTGCGATCAGCGGCTTGCATCCACATGGAGTTGGACACCTAAATAAGAAAAATTTAGATACTCTATATTAACTCACACCACAGTAAATGGTTTACACCCGAAGGTAACATTCGTTCGTGTAGTCTGATCGTCCTGGTGAGAGTAGTCTTAGGAAGGAATGCTGTCGGTGATAGTGACTGACGTTTTGACAACCTTGGCAGAATTCATCATCGAAGTTAAGAGATAGTTTTTGTTGGTTAGCAGCCGGCGTCAGATTCGTGTACACAAATTGGTCAGTTTTGCCGGGATGTTATTGGCTGTAAGACTAAGTACCGTAAGTTGACCAACTGACCGACTGACTTAAGATAAAATTTCTTCGGAGAGCCTGGGACTATACGTAGTTTCTATGTCATACACCATAAATCAGAGTGAGGGGCTTCAAAATGAATGGTGCGTAAACGGCAAAACGAATCCATAACCAAAATGTCCCTGATTGGTCATGTATCTGGAAACATCTGCTCTAGTGCAAAAAATATTCTACTAACCATTTGCATCGGCACTGGTATCCAAAAAAAAGGTCGAAGTTTAACTCTGGCCTGGACTGCACAAGATTTTCCAGGAAGGCCACCTCCTAACAGGGGAGGAGGTGGGGGCACTCCTGGAGGGAGGGGAGGAGGAGGAGGCGGTGGATTGCTGCCCGAAGTAGGTCTATTATCTCCAATAGGTCTATTATCTCCAATAGGTCTATTATCTCCAATAGGTCTATTATCTCCAATAGGTCTATTATCTCCAATAGGTCTATTATCTCCAATCTCTTCAGCAGCTTTGGAGGAAAAAAGACAAAGGGAACATTAGTTGCAAGTTTTCTGCACGTAATATTTGTTTGTCTAAAGTAAACTCAAATACGATTGTCCTGAATAGGGGAACTGCTTTCGATTTATGAATCTAACATTTTTAGAATTCTAACGACTCAATCAAAAATTTGCTGATTGAGGTTGTACTCGTTTGACTACTGACTACAATTCGATTTTTTATCGACCTTTCGAACTATTGATTTCTACAATCCAATATAAATAGATACACGTACGACTCAACGAAAATTGAGAGATATGATGACAGACGCAGAGAAGTAAAAATGGATATAAAATGCTGTTATCAGCAGCAACGCTTCAAAGAATTAACAACCGGCCAGTTATAAACAGTGAGGCTTTGCACGAGTAAGAATTGTGTAAGCATTATGATTAAAGGAGACCATAGCCACTGCAGTGCTCAGTCTTCACTCCTTTTCGATTTACCGAACAGCAGATACTTACCCACCTTTTTGCTGAACAAAATAAGATAAGAATACGAGATTAGACCCTATGTTTCCTCCTGCAAGATGTTATATGCACGTTAGTGATGCATAAACAGATTTAATGGATTCATTTTGAGGTTTACCCTTTCCACTTGCCTTCAGAAAAGAGAGAGGAAATTAAAGTTACATCCATCAGAAGTTCAGCAACTTTTTCAAATGAGCGGTGTTAACTGCCAGACTGATTCTCCAATGGATGAGTGAGGTATAAAAGGTATGAAAAACCTCTTGCAGTTTTTCCGAAAACATGAAGAGTCCCGTGACTTTGTCAGTCCTATGCAAACCTGCCATATGAGGCAATCTAAATGATTTCCAAATATGTAATTCGCTTCCTGTCGGTGTTTTTAGATGATAAGTTTAGGAGAATGGTTGTAAGAGCCGGAAAAGGTCAAGATGAAAACAACGACGCCGCACATTAGATGGAGACGTCCAAGAACGCGCACAATCTTCTGTTTTTGTGTCACGATAGGAATGAATTAAGTGATAGGATATTCATATTGGTCATTTGGCTCAACAATTTTATAATACAACAAAACATTGAGAACGGTCGAGTCCTAAACTCATATAAATTACAAGTAACAAAACAAAACAAAAACTATTGGGCTTCAGCAACACCACTCTAACCAATTATAGTTTTTAACTGCAAAGCGGCGATCTTCGCCAAAATCCAGCTTTTTTGACCAAACCCACCTGGCCAATAACGCCCTAATGTATCTAAGAGTTGCAACTGGTGGAATTTCTTGAGCCATATAATCTATAATCTTGCAACCGTGGGAGTGTTACTGACTGACAAAGACACGCAAAGAGAGATGAAGAGAGCTTTTGCAAAGTGTGAGATGAGTGAAAGATGTGAATGAACAGTTGCGCATGCCTCTTAAACAGCTAAATCACATACCATAGGTATGACTCAGATCAGAACCTTTCTCGTTCGGCATCTGTTTAGAAAGTAACACCACACCTTCTTTAGCTTCTTCCTCCTGCAAAACCTGCCGTCGCTCTTCGATTGCCTGCGCGAGACTCTCGCATCCCATCCCCCCAGAATCGATTTCAAGGTTACCATCCGTTGATTCACGTTCTGTGATATTCGTGGCGTCACCCTTCGTCTCCTGAGTCCCTGATGAAGCTATTTCATTTCCGATGTCAACAGACTCTTTTCTCTCCCCAGCAGAACCACCAAGGACAGTAGGTTCATTCGTCTCTCCAGTACAAGCCTCAGCAACACCATCTTTCGCTCCTAGAGTAGAAACACCATGCAGACCACCTTTCGCTCCTAACGGAATGTTTTTGATGTGGACATTATCGTAAATATCGGAGTCATCTATCGGGCTTATGACACTCACTGGTATAGGTGGCTGCATATAAATACTTGAGCTGTCATCTTCAATCACACCACTACCAGGTTTAGGTGGCCTTGGTGGTGTGTGTTCACCTACACTACCTCCTTTCGAACCTTCACGTTTTTGAGAACCGATTTCAACAGTTTCGTAGGGACCTGAAGAAGAACTGCTACTCCGTGAAGGCCTCACAGGTGGGACGATTTGTTGAGGCGTACATGGATCAATGTCACTAACTAGTGTGTTTGATAGTTCAGAAGGTTTATGAGGCCGTGGAGGGGGGCCACCGCTGACATGTGACGACTGAGCAACACCTGTGAGGGATGGAACGGGTGGAGGTTTTTTCGTCCGTTGTGGAGGTTCAACTTTTTCATAACCATCTTCAGGTTGAGGTGGCAAGCTGGGTAGCCTGTCGCTGTCTTTTCTTCTCGGAGGCGAAGTATTGTTGAATTGAGGTGCGCGTGTGCTGCTGTCTTTTAAAGAATCTTTTCTGCGTTGTGGTAAGACCACGACTCCATCTTTGTTAGAATCTTTCCTGGATTGAAGTACTTGTCTCCTAACAAAGAGAGAACAACGTAAGCCTTAGAGGGGCCAAGTTACATTATGTACACCTTGCAAAAGTTGCCTTATTCGCAACTAAAAAAAAATCGTGTCAATTTTCTCCATCATTAATCACTCTCGTTCTTTTCTGTTGCTTTCTCATCTTTACAGTGTTTTCACACTATAAGCTGAATTTTGCGTGCATTTTGACTCGTTCTTTCTTTTGATCTAATGGAGGGCAGACACATAGATGACGTCATCACCAACTCAATTTTGCTTTTTCGTGAAATTAAACGAACAGATTCCATGCTTCCGTGAGTCTGTGCAGTAATAAATCACAGATGATGGCAACATGGAAATCCATTTGTCAAAGCTAGAACAGCACACTATTATTTCAAGGTTTGGTACATTGTATAAGCAATTCTCTAGGACGCCAAGACTCAAACCTTAGCTCCGTGAAAATTTGGACGTTTGCATTTCCTACAAACAAAAGGCCAATCATACGTGAACCTTTGATCGTCCAAGAAAGGTATGGGAGGGTGATTTTCAGACCTCAATACATGAAGATTTATTATTATACCCTGCATAAGTAGCTTTTTTTGGGTTGGGATTTATGCACAAACAACACTCAAAAATCAAAAAATTTTCTCACATTGTCCATGACAACACGCCTGTTTTGACTTGTGAATCCAAATTGCGCACAACATCTTTCACCTTCTTGACCTAAAATAAACATTCTACCGCGTGAGTGAGGGTTTGACGTGATACTGAGTAAAAGAAACTCCTGTGATGACGATGATGCTCTGACAAATATACAATCAGCATTTTTTGTAGCGAAATATAACGTGTTAAGTTAACGATAATCACTATTGTAAGTGGATATAATAAATGGAGGTAACCTCGTTAGCGCAATTTGAAAATGAATGTCAAAAGTAATAAGGAAAATTTGGGGGTGTATTTTTCAGGCTCTCTTCAAATCAGAAACAGCCGACACTTTATTACTTAAGATTTCTCGCAATTCAAGTAATTTCCTTGTTTTAAAATAAGTGATCACGAGCCCCGTGTGATTATAATCAATCAAATTTAAAACTAAAACCAATCGTGCCTTGGGACTCTCGCGTTTTCCCGCGCTTCAGGAGGTTTGCTTGTTTCACTTTCATTCTCATTGGTTCCCTGGTGATATTTTCCGTGCTATAATTGGCTGTTGTAATTGTTTTGGTTTCGATCTTACGACACTCAGTCGAAAAGCGCTAAATTGTTCTTAGTTGCCATTGCCTCTCGGTTTTGGATTTATGGTCAACAACAATCACTCTCAGACATTTAAGTTTCTTGATCAATATAATTCTAATTTACCTGCACAGTAGCTTGAATAGGTGCGTTGACCACAGACAACACAGAACCTAACTGCTCCAACTCCTAAAACGAAACAAAATTTGAGTATAAAAAATTGTCATGTATGTTTAAGAAACAAAAACAACACCAGCGACAACGACCATAGTTGTAAATTATGTATCAATCATTTAGTCAAGCTAGGGTTAAGTTTTCAAAACCAGATTAACATATCCCGTGATAGCTACATACAAAATCACATATTACCACGAAATTTAAATTTGGATTGACCATGTTTCGAACAAATCTTTCGATAATTTATAAAAAAAGATTTTACTTTGAAATAAATTCCACATAGAGAGCGCGAAGATTAAACAAAAAACCTGCCGCGTTATATCAAAGAAATACGTTAAAAAAAAGAAGACATACTCTTTGAAGTGTTCTGACAACATCTTTAAGATACTTTTCCTGTTCTACTACAGAGGATGCAATGGCTGAAATAAAATAAAAAACAAAAAAAAAATGTTAAATTCCTGTGATACTTTTCATCATTTTGAAACAATTATCAAGGTACGTAACCTGCTTCATCAGGAACTGACGATACTGCTCTTGATTGACGGAAACTTATTTGGGAAGCTGTAGTTATAGCCTGAAAATTCAAATTTACAAGTTGTCACCAACTAGAATGTGCACAACTGTCACATCACGTTGTTTATGAAAATTGTTATGCGATTTTCTTTCCAGGCTAAGGAGAAAACTCTCGATGACGTGTTTTGTTTAATTAAACGGCCTAGCCTCCCACGATTCCCCTATAGCTCAGCGATAAGGCATCCGAACGACTCAATGGAAGGTCGTAGATCCGGCTCCTGTTGGGAGCACTCTAAGTTATTTTTCTCCGAGTTTGCCTATGTTACTTACTAAATAATATCATCTCTCAAGTAAAGCGCCAAATCAAATGATATTTCTACCGTGCTATTAATGGATTAACGATCTAAAAAAGATTGCCCAACTACATTGGGACTGTCCAAAGTGTAAACGGGCATTGACGCAAAAATGGACATAATGGTTATACTAAATGAAATTAAAGCAATGGACGATGCATGTATTATTTATAAGCAATTAGTATCACGATATTTATGAAATGAATAACGCTGCATCTACTGTATGCAAAAAACCTCAATCCATGAGTCTCTTTCTTTCTCAACAGCATTATCGCCCGCATTGTTCAGATTTAACACACGGAAACTGAAAGATGGAAATAACCACATATGTACAACACAATTTACATGTAGATGTTATTTGATTTAGATAAGTAACTGGTTAGTTACCGTTAATGAATGACTGAATGATAATACAACTTTAAAATATAGCACGATAAAGATGCAGTAAACAAAAAAAGTTTGTCAAGAATTTCCCTTTTTTTTTTTTTTTTTTTTTTTTTTTGAAGTGTTGGTAAATAAAATGGCCTTGAAGGGTAGCTTGCAAGCAGGCCCTAATCGTTAATTCTGCAGAACGTGCGTTTTTCAATCTGTAGGAAGATTTGAGATGGGTCGCGGAGAGGTCCTTCCAGACCTCTGGCCAAGAACACGTTATCAGGATCTTCAACAATTGGGCCCCTGGCTTGACTCTTACTCTCTAAATCCAGTGTTTAGCACTCTGACCATTATGCCATGATATCTGGGGTATATGAAATGAGAAGCACTGGTTTTATCATCATACCTATATTCCTTCTTGCTTGTGATGATAATGAAAGCATTATGATCCACACTCTTGACTTCCGCCAGCCCAGGACCAAGCTTAACAATGTTCAAAGCAGCCTGCACACAAATTTAAACAAGTTGAAGGTAAATTAATTTACAGGTCTATTCATTAAAGGAGGAATTTCTTTAGACATTTAAATTGTCTGTCTGTATCAGTTAGTTTTTTTTTTAAATCGTTGCTTTGTGTACACAATTTTAGGAGAAGAAAAATTGTAGAGAACTCTAAAAAATAACCCCTGCATTTTGAATAGGTCAGCCTGGGTGGTCAGTTCCAACTATTGATAAGCACCCCATGTGGTCCAATCGACTGGAAAAAAAAGTACCTCTGGATGTAGTAGAGATATATAAGATATAGTAGAGTTGATATGTGGCTTGACGCCAAGGCAAAGTGGTGACAACTCCCTCATCCATAGCCACTGCTCCATAGTAGCCCAGGTTCCCCCTTGCCCACTCACAGCCCCATTTACAATGCAATTTCTCAAAGAACGTTGATCAAGAACAAAATACAAGCCTATGTTCACTTTGTACAGCTAACTACTGCTGTATACAAACCCACCTGGCTTTCCTCTCCCAACTTAAAATATGATAATTCTCCTTGCTGGATGCGCAGCCATCGCCTACAAAATAAATAACATAAGAATCTTGTCACATAACAAATCCACTTCCTGCTTCTCAGAATGCTTGTGGGATGTAATTCCTATTACTTATTAATGGCGAGAAAAAGAACAAAAAGACATTGCCCAAACCATTGCTTCTGAAAAAACTTCAAGTAACATTTCTATTATATATTGTAAATTTAGCAAAACTCCTTACAAGTTGATAAATGGGAAGGTCTATTTTTTTTAAAGGAGAAAATGACTTGTGAAGGCATAATTTGCTTCTTTTCTTGTCCAGGGGCTGTCAATAGGTTTGAAAGTGGAAAGTTTGAAAGGGTTTAGTAGTAGGTGGCCAAGTTATCATGGATGCCATATTAATTCATCACATTTCAAGCAAGAGTGAGTACTATTAGGTCATAATCAATCCATGGGTTCAACAAAGTTTGCCCAAAACTTGAAGCAAATTCTTAAAGTGGACGTGATTCACACATGTAAACATGTTGCTGGTAAATCATGCATTCACTTCCACTCAAAACTGGAGAATGGCTGTTGAAAATAGTTAGCTGTTTTGGCCAACTCTCTGCTCTAGTTGACAGTTCTGAATTTCATTGCTAACCATCATTGTCTTCCTGCCATGGACCTGCTCCCTGTAGCCGTTAGTGCTACAATGGCCCCTCCAATTAACTAAGTGGTCCAACAGCTTCTCCTTACCTTGGCCACATCATAAACGCTACACTATGACCTTTCTTCTCGATCTGGCCTTCTTTGATAACTTTTGTAGTGTCAAGTGATGGTGCTTCAAATTCCCCTATTCAGTAAATGAAAACAATTGATTACTGTTGTGAAACAGGTGTGTCAAAATAAGAAAGGCAAAGTTATTGTGCCAACAAGAAAGTGATGAGCCCAAGACTGTTGTCAATCACAAAGTACAAGAATACAGTATTTCCCCCAATCAGTACCCACCCTCCTGCCATAATGTCAAACAAGCACCCCTCTCAAATAAGCACCCCTCCTCCTCCCTCACTTTCTTAATTGAATAGGGATACAAGGAAAACCTGTTTCTACTTCCACTTTATTTATAACTTTTGCAGCTTCAACTAAAGAAGAATCAGTAACGGAAAGTAATAAGTATTCCCCCTCCCCTCAATTAAGTGCCCTCTATTCACTAAATGCCCCTCCTTTTAGCCAAAATTTTAAACAAGCACGCAGTTGCTTATTTGAGGAAACATGCAACATAGCTTTCATCACTGCCATGTGCCATTCCTTGTTCATTTCATTATCCTCAGAACTCTCCTTATGGGATTTCTCTCTATATCATAGAATGCATTATTCTTTAATCATCTGACTAGCTTGATACAAGATTAATTTGATAATTTATTTGGAAACATTTTGAATCCAACTGAAGTGAACTGTTTTTTTTGGTAATGAGCAAGTCATAGAATGAAAGATTTACCATCTGGTTCATCTCCTCTGCTCTGTGTCACGATAGAATCCAGTAGATGACAAATCTGTTTGAGAAATTAAGACAAAACATTTCTGATACACCTGATTTTGAAGAGTAAATTATTCATAGATTGGGCTATGACTATTCTTCTTGCCTGTCTCTGCAAATGCTACAATTCTAGTTCAACTCTTTTCAATCTAATGTTGTTATTGTCTCTGAAGTGTTGTTGTTGTTGTGGTTGTTGTTGCTGTTGTGGTTGTTGTTGCTGTTGTGGTTGTTGTTGTTGTTGTTGTTATTGTCCTTTTTGCTGTCATCCTCAATATCGTCATGGTCATAGCTGTTGTCATGGTCTTTGTCACTGTTAGTACCATTTTCATTGCTAACACTTCAGTTCAGCAATTTCTCTTCACTTGTGCAAGTGCCTGATACACTTTTAATTTGTCATCATAGTGCTATGCAACAACTTTACAAAAGTACAAATGGATAACACTTGGCCACCTTTACCTCAATCTTGCAAAACAAAATATTGTCAGGGAACTCACATTTTAAACAATAACCATGTTTCATAATCTCTCACCTACAATACAAGTCCACATGCAACAGGAAACTGCTAAACTATTCATGGTCAAAAAGTCACATAAAATTTACATGAAAATCATAACACAATTAATTAAAATAAATATCATCTTGTTATCTCCACAGTTTTCAGATAATAAAATCAATAAACATGTACCAACCTTGTTTTTCTCCTCAATACTGTCAGCATCAAGTTCATAATCACTTTCAAGATAAATGTAAAATCTCACACCATCCTAGAATTAAAAAGTTGCACATTGTTGTTTTAACAGTAATCAAGAAAAGTTATCAGGTTAACAGATATTTTTAACATGTCACTGCATGATGTAATTAACTCACCTCACTGTCAAACCCTTTGATATCAGTGAATGCAAATTTCTTGTTTCTGTTTCCTTTCTGAATGATACACAGCACCTTCTCTTGAAAATCAAACTGGAAAAAAAGGAAACATTTTTTAAAAATTGAATGATTGAAACCTGAAAGATCTGACTGACTGCCTTCCTTCCTGAATGCCTAACATAAAAAAAAATAACAAATACAACAAAGAGATGAACAGGCAGATTCACAATGGATGAACAAGCTGAAAAGTGTTAGAGGCATGCACATAAGAAACAAGGAGTAAATTATATTAAGAAAGACAATCAGAGTACTTAACGAAAACAACAGTTCGCCATATCAAAATCAACAGAATAAATCTGAAACCTTAAATGAGTTAGAAATGGATTTACCATGAAAGCATAAGTCAGATTAAATTTGTTTGCATCAGTCTTACGCTTGATGCATGAGACTTGAGAGCTCTACTTAAGACTGAATAAAAGGTAAAACAAAGACACAAATGAGCAAGAGTGTACAAGCAAACAAGCAAAAAAGGCAACAAAGATAAAAAGAACAAAGAAAGGAAGAAATGAGATGAAAAAAAAACAAATAAAAACAAAAGATATATTAAAACATAAGTTAACCCTTTAATTCCCAAGATCTGATTGTTAATTCTCCCCTCTGGCTGCTACACATTCCCTTGCAAACCAGTTATAAGAATTTGGTGTTAGATCAAGATCACAACTTCTACTTGATAAGTTTGAATGTTCTCATTACCTGTTTGCTGGATAAGTTGTATGAATATTATAAGGAGAAGTTTCATGCTAATCACTTCTGAGAGATAAAGGATTAAGAGCTGTAAACTTGTTTTAGCAAGTCAAACCTGTAAAATTCTCCTAGATAGACTTGTCTTGTCCCTGCCATACTTGTACACTCCAAAATTAAAGATCTTCTCTTCTCCATTCCCATCATCATTTGTTGGTTCAGGAGAAGCAATCACTCCAAGAGTTTTTGCCTCCTTCATAGCTTCTTCAACAGACCATATCCCTTCCTAATAACAATATTAATTAAATTAATTTAATATTGTTTGAGCCAATGCCACAGTAAGAAATTGATTTTTTTTAATATTTATTAAAAAATTATCAGCCTTGTTCCTGTGGTCCTAGCTTACTGAGATCACTTAAACCCTATTGACAACCTAAATTGTGGTCCTCATTAAAGCAATTTTGTCACTATTTCAGCCTACAGAGAAAATCCCTTTTTTTACCAGTTCAAAATAAATCATTGCATTCATACAGGGCAGTGAATGGCAGCAAACTAAATGCAATTAATGAGAGCAAAAGTTTAAAGGTTTAAAAATACAATAAGAGCCACAACTTAAACATACCTTCACCATGTTCATGATCCGTATTCTTTCAGCATCACCCTCCTTGCCTTCCTGCATATGGGAGATAATATTGTCTTATAATTAAACTGCTTAAATATTCCTTTACATATCTAGTCTAGTGGACTGTTCATGACTGGATATTAATCCTTTTCTGGTGTCTTAACCCTTTTTGCCTTTACATTAGTATGCAAGTTCTCCATACTGTTCTCTTTACATTAGTATGCAAGCTCTCCATACTGTTCTCTTTACATTAGTATGCAAGTTCTCCATACTGTTCTCTTTACATTAGTATGCAAGTTCTCCATACTGTTCTCTTTACATTAGTATGCAAGTTCTCCATACTGTTCTCTTTACATTAGTATGCAAGTTCTCCATACTGTTCTCTTTACATTAGTATGCAAGTTCTCCATACTGTTCTCTTTACATTAGTATGCAAGCTCTCAATACTGTTCTCTTTACATTAGTATGCAAGTTCTCCATACTGTTCTCTTTACATTAGTATGCAAGTTCTCCATACTGTTCTCTTTACATTAGTATGCAAGTTCTCCATACTGTTCTCTTTACATTAGTATGCAAGTTCTCCATACTGTTCTCTTTACATTAGTATGCAAGTTCTCCATACTGTTCTCTTTACATTAGTATGCAAGCTCTCCATACTGTTCTCTTTACATTAGTATGCAAGTTCTCCATACTGTTCTCTTTACATTAGTATGCAAGTTCTCCATACTGTTCTCTTTACATTAGTATGCAAGTTCTCCATACTGTTCTCTTTACATTAGTATGCAAGTTCTCCATACTGTTCTCTTTACATTAGTATGCTAGTTCTCCATACTGTTCTCTTTAGATTAGTATGCAAGTTCTCCATACTGTTCTCTTTACATTAGTATGCAAGTTCTCCATACTGTTCTCTTTACATTAGTATGCAAGTTCTCCGTACTGTTCTCTTTACATTAGTATGCAAGTTCTCCATACTGTTCTCTTTACATTAGTATGCAAGTTCTCCATACTGTTCTCTTTACATTAGTATGCAAGTTCTCCATACTGTTCTCTTTATATTAGTATGCAAGTTCTCCATACTGTTCTCTTTACATTAGTATGCAAGTTCTCCATACTGTTCTCTTTACATTAGTATGCAAGTTCTCCATACTGTTCTCTTTATATTAGTATGCAAGTTCTCCATACTGTTCTCTTTACATTAGTATGCAAGTTCTCCATACTGTTCTCTTTACATTAGTATGCAAGTTCTCCATACTGTTCTCTTTACATTAGTATGCAAGTTCTCCATACTGTTCTCTTTACATTAGTATGCAAGTTCTCCATACTGTTCTCTTTATATTAGTATGCAAGTTCTCCATACTGTTCTCTTTACATTAGTATGCAAGTTCTCCATACTGTTCTCTTTACATTAGTATGCAAGTTCTCCATACTGTTCTCTTTATATTAGTATGCAAGTTCTCCATACTGTTCTCTTTACATTAGTATGCAAGTTCTCCATACTGTTCTCTTTACATTAGTATGCAAGTTCTCCATACTGTTCTCTTTACATTAGTATGCAAGTTCTCCATACTGTTCTCTTTACATTAGTATGCAAGTTCTCCATACTGTTCTCTTTACATTAGTATGCAAGTTCTCCATACTGTTCTCTTTACATTAGTATGCAAGTTCTCCATACTGTTCTCTTTACATTAGTATGCAAGTTCTCCATACTGTTCTCTTTACATTAGTATGCAAGTTCTCCATACTGTTCTCTGTACATTTCCAAAGAAACTTAAAAGGAGAATTTGTCTAGCAATCAAGAGCTTCTCGAGTTCACTATCATTTTGTTCATTCTCAAGACTTTAACATTTGATTCAGGGGTGATATTGTTGGGAGTAATTAGATACTTATCACTCTTAGGAATAAACGGATTGGTGGAGCAAGACAAAAACATGAACAACAAAAAACATGGACAGAATAAGGAGGAACAATATCTGTCTATTTTGACAAAAAAGGCTTGGTTAATGACTGTCGCAACAATCTTATAAGTGTATTACATGATACCTTATTACCTAATTTGGTAATTGAGCTAAGGCTTTAGATGTATAATTGAGCGTAGCATGGTAATGACAGACTTGTAATGACAGACTTGGGAATTCCTAGGAATTCCTAGGAATTCCCAACCATAACAACTCTGGTTCTAAAAACCTAGAAATTCCCAGAAATTCCCAGAAATTCCCAGAAATTCCCAGAAATTCCCAGAAATTCCCAGAAATTCCCAGAAATTCCCAGAAATTCCCAGAAATTCCCAGAAATTCCCAGAAATTCCCAGAAATTCCCAGAAATTCCCAGAAATTCCCAGAAATTCCCAGAAATTCCCAGAAATTCCAAGTTTATAGCCAACAGGACTTGGAATTCCTAGGAATTCCTAGGAATTCCAACTCAGAGAACCAATGACTTTCCCTGAAAAGCTGTAAATCTAAAAAATTCCTTGGAATTTCTGGGAATTTTTGGGAATTTTTGGGAATTTTTGGGAATTTTTAGGAATGTTTAAGAATTACTGGGAATTTTTAAGCAAAAATTTGAGGCTAATGATATTAAATAAATACTCTAAATTAAAAAAAACCCAGCTAAAATTCAAGTATTCAATGAAATTTATTTAGAAGCTTAATTAAGGCTTACATGTAAAATATTTTTGATTAATTATTAACATCACCTTGTGGTAATATTAAGATGGAATTTGATTTATTTTTCTTTTCTTGAAAACTTCATATGGATTAATCCTCAATTACAGCTATTCATATAAAATAGTCCTACTCAATCATTAAAATTGGTTTGACAAATCTGTTGATTCTTTTCCATAAAATACAATATCTTAAATTTTATTTGAAAACCAAGCACTCTTGGGAGTGAAGGGGTTAATTACAGATAAATAAAATTGATTTTTTGATTAAAGTCTTGTTGTAAATGTAACAATAAATTAGAGTGAAGTTATCCTAAACTGCAAACTTAGCTGCTGTTTGTATTTTTTCCCTGGGCTCACAATGAGTTGGCCTTGAATGAGGTTGTCTACAAGAAGCTTGACCATTTTGTATCTGGATTCCAAGACATCTGAATTTGAATATCGCAATTTTACTCACCACAAACTTTCAAAATCGTAGCTTTACAGATGGCCACTCAACCCTTGTTTGTACCAGTCAATATGTCAACTGTTGTCCCTTCTTTTAACTCCACGGCGCCAACGACTTTCTTTTCTTTTACAACACTCACACTGTTCTCGTTTCCCCATTAAACCACAATAAAAGCTATCTTTATACATGTTATATTAAGCAAAACAGTTGAGAAAAGCGATCAACCGATGAAAAGTACATTCAAAGATGAGCGCCAAATGGAGTCTTCTTTGTTTCCGATCACAGGCATGATCACATGGATCGTTTAGGACTTGTCATTGGCTAGCAAAGTGAATCCGCTGGCTTGCCGATTGCATTGTTGAGAGAAGCGCACAACTTTAATCTGATTTCGACCGGTTCTCTGCTTCTAGACGATGGATACCTTGGTGATATAAATAATGATTTGAGCTCACTCTATGTAGAAATAATCGACAAGAATCGATCGTATTACAAATGCAAGATTTGTGGCCGAAAGTTGTCGAGGAAACAAAGACTCGAAACTCACTTGAGTTGTGTTCATGGCAAATGTGAGAAATAACACAAGCCAATCACAGTTTTGAATGCAACTACAAATCGTCTTTTAACCTCATATTTATAAAAGAAGGATACCATATTAGGAAGTATAAGAGATACACAGATGATCCCAGTGTACCAGTACCTAAATCTACAAAGCTTGACCGTAGCAAGCGTTCAGCAACACGTTCCAACACCGCTATCTCGATTCCTCAGTCAGTCGTTTCCACTGAACTTAAAGCAGTGGTGACAACAGAGAAGAGTGCGTCTTACAAAAGAGAAAAATTTGTGCAAGAGAAGTAACTATATGCAATTACAGAGGTGCGTTTGAAATCTGGTCCACAAATAGTTATAGGTAGTTTGTATAGCTGAGAATTCCTAGGAATTCCAAGTCCTCACAAAACTGGAGTCTTCCTTTCCCAGAAATTCCCAGTAATTCCAAGCTTTTTAAATCAGAGTTAATTTGCATAGTTGGGAATTTTTATGAATTCCTAGGAATTCCTAGGAATTCCCAGGAATTCCTAGGAATTCCCAGAAGACTGGGAATTCAGTTTGCAAGGGTCATTTAGATAATTGGGAATTTTTGAGAATTCCTAGGAATTCCCAGAAAACTGGGAATTCAGTTCGCAAGGGAAGTCATGAGAATAAAGAAAAATATCAATTTGGGGATAATTAGTTGATCCAATACAAAATTATCTCAACTAACATTATAAGAATTGTATGGTTAACAATAAGGAGAGGTACAAATTTGAGCTGGGAGTTAAAGAGTTAAATGTAGAAAGTATGGAGATTGTATGGATCAGAAATAAACACCAGAAATCGGAAAGATACAGTCCTATTGATTGCTGAACCAGCATGCTGCGGAGATTTTCCTTAATGCAGTGGAGAATTCTGCAGCAATGACATTTCTATAATGACCAAACTAAGTGGTACCAGTCTTATGTTTTTCAGATTGATTACTATAAAAATCTTCTTTCTGTGTGAAAAAGTTACAAGCAGTTTCTTCTCATGCATCTGAACATGGTTGAAAATCTTGTCCAATCAGGTAATCAATCAGAACACAGGATTGCTTCACCTTGTTCATTCATATAGCCAGAAATACAATAGTAATGTAACAAAAATCTCATCAAAATTTAACAAAAATCTCTCAGTCTGAAGATTCCTTTCCAATTTATCTAAAAAGAAAAAAAAGTCCCATGTTGTTTGGAGTCACATGAATGGTCTTTGTTCATATAAAACCCAAAAATATCTTTCCTAATTCTTTCTCAATTCAAACATTACATCACAGATCCCAAAAAGGAATAAAAAAAGAATAATGAATTACTATACAAAATGAACCGCCTTAGGAAACTCATTATTATATAGAGGCACCAATCCAGATAGTAATCACAGTTGTTCTATGTTTTTGTGACCTCTTTTTTAGTGGCAAAGGACAGACACAAGTGGATCAAATGCACTAATGGCACTTAGTTGCTCTACAAGTTCAAAGAAGATTCTTGAACATTTTATCACCAAATTTCATATTTATAATCTAAAACATCAAGTGGAGTGAGAAACTCTCCACATTTAAAATCTATTTCTCTGCTCAATATGAAAAAAATTGCTTGTCCACACAAAGCACTTTAACTGCAATTTCAGGTTTGTGCTGCAGATGCAAATTTTGTTGAAGGAAAAACCCTTCAAGGCAACCTGTTTCTATTTCCTCTTGAGAATGTACTAGTATTTAATTAATTCTGAATATTCGTGATCATAATAAGATCATGCAATAAAAATCAGCTGAGAGAGAGCGTCATCGACTGGAAACAGGTTGCAATAATGGGGTCTTTTGCTCGACTACAGCGGCATTGCAAAAACAAAACGCTTGTATTTCAGTAGTGAAGAAGGTGCTGAGTAAAGAAATGATGAGCTTGTCTTACAGTTGTCCTTTGTTTTAAGTTCGCCTGTACAGTACTTTCGCATCACCATTTACAACAGCTGATTTAATATCAAGTGCCTAAACATGTAAAGGTGAGATCAACTCACGAGGAGATATACAAAGTTCAATCTACTTTGGTCACGTTCCTGTTTATTAAATTAGCAACCTGATGGATTTTTCTAATTTTCAACAAGTTTAGCGTTGAGTTCTACTTCCACCCCTTGTATAATGATCAATGATTCTAGAACTAAAATCAGAAACATACACTAACCTCCATTTCCTCGGGCATAGAATCTTGATTCATGGGCCGCGTAATGATTGTTCCTTTTCTCTGGGTTCCCTTGCTCAGAGAAGCCAAAAAATTTCGCTTCTTGGATGTACGGGGACTTGCAAATGCCTGTAAATGCTGAGGTCCGCTCACATTCAAACCTGTTGAAGATGGCTGCACGTCCGTGATCATCGCATAGTCACTGCTCTCTTGAGCGCAAGGCTCGCCTTGCTTCATATTAGACATTTTCGACAGCTTTTATATATCATAAACTGTCCGCAAGGACTTCGTCAAATTTCAAGGAAATGTTGCAGCAACATGCTAAATCCAAAACCTTTGATCATTTAACGTGCAACATAGTCACAACATACGCGGTTACCAAGCTGATTACGTCAATCCTGGTAATCTCTAAAGCTTAAGAGGTCATCTCGTTTTTTTTTTTTTCAAATATAGTGGGGAATGTTTTTCAAGCGTTTAGGCATCACTAATCATCTTCAGGGAATGACTTGTAAGAGACCGCATTTTAATAAACTGGAAATCAAAGCAATTTAGATCGATATTGAAATTAGCCTTGATTTTAAGGTGCAAGTTACTGTTACATATTTCATTACGAACTACCTATCACAATAACTGGTATCCTTAAAAGCACTTCCCATTCGGAAATTTGAGTGGGATGTAACACTACCTCCGGTCAGGAGCCTACTCAGGGAGTAGCCCTTGCGTGGGATCACATGCAACCCCTAAAACAAACATTTATTTTCTATTTCATTTTCTTACTGCCCTCATTCTTTTTATTTACCTTATAAGGTTCAAAGTGGGAGATATCGGAAATACGAAAAGACGAATTGATGATGGAACAGAACAGCGAAAGACGTCAGTACACCAAATGCGCCTATCGATTTGTTTTTCGTGCCGGATGAGTAAGCTCAAACCGTATAAGCTGATATTGTCAAATCCTGTCCAAACTAATCTTTTTTAGATTCAAAGGAGTCAGATTGTCGGAACATCTTTCGAAAGATGTTTAAGTTGCACTCAACCAGGATTTATTTTAATTTGGTTTTGGTTTCCCTTGGTTGAAATAAAAGGGCATGTTAAGGCCAGAGTCTGGAGGACTTTTACAAGGATATTGGGCAAAACTGAAGCAAAAAAAAGTGAAAAACAAAACACTCTGCAGGGCCTAAAAACTATTTACTCAGGCCTTGGGTAAAGTCACTGACTATTTCATTAACATTTCATTCCAGCAACCGAGTTTTGAACCGAGACCCAGCTCCCATGGCTGATTTCAGATGGGGAAATAAATTCATAAATTCATCAAATTGTATCATTAATTTGGGATGGAACAAATTTAATTCCATCTTTTTTCACAGGAAAATAAAGTCCACTTACTCTCAACGACAATGGGCTCAATGTTAGGTTTTATGATAGGTTTATAAAATCCTGTTAAATTCATGAATTCATTTCTCAGTTCAGTTACAAAATCGCATTTTAAATGTACATTCTGTCTATTACTGGGTAAAGAGAAAAAAAAGGCAAATTCGTTGGTAATGATATCTGATAAATAAGTGAGGGTCCCTATACTATCACAGAAACCCTAATTCCATACATGTCAAGAGTGTATGGGTGTCCTGTGGTTTTTTCAACTCACCATTTTCGAGATCCTTTGTTGGATACAACAACTCAGCTTGCGCGTTTCCCATATTTCTTCCCTCCAAACTTGACTAACCCTAATAGAAAATTGATAAAGAGGGTAAGTTTCTAAAGTGAGGGAGTGCAACAAGATAATGTGGTTTTATCAACTAAGTTGATAATGTGAATTGGCCACCGTGAACAGTTTCAAAGCTGACGTTTCGAGCGTTAGCCCTTCGTCTTAGCAATGACTTGAAATGAGCAAGAGAATATAATCCCAGAATTTTTTTTTGGTATGACGAAATATGTTCTGAAAAGCACAATAAAAACAATAAGTTGAGTTCGAATCGCTCTTCAATCGCTCTGACGAAGGGCTAACGCTCGAAACGTCAGCTTTTTTACCCTTTACGGTGGCTAATTTACGTTTTCAACCCAGTTGTTAACACTAAATTACCTGCTGAGTTCTTATGTCGTTGCTTACGGAGCACTCACAAAAAAAAGACTCAGACCATTCTATCTCAACGCTTTACACCTTAACATCAGTATGTATATTCTCCACAGTGTTCCCCATACATTTCTCAAGGTGCTGACAAGGAGAAATTCCCAAAAAAAAACAAGAGCTTCTTTGGTATGTGATCACTTTATTCTCGAAAAGAAAAGTTTACAGGAATCGACCAATCGAGCGAGCGAGCAAGTGCCATTCTCCACATCATATCTACAACTCGCTCTTGCGCATGCGCGCAATTTACGCGTTTAAAAACGAAAAACGCCTGCAAATGGAGTCAATATCGGCCATTTTCTGCTGAGTCAGTCCGTGTTTGACGGGTAGGAAATACCTTGCAGAAGCCCACAGTAAGGAAAAAACTCATGTGTAGCTTGAAGGTAAAAATTCCTTCTCTAATAAATTGTCCACTGTCCCCTCCCCCCACAGCCCCCTCCATCTCTCTTCGACGGACGAATACGCAACGAAATGTGTCTGACACCTAATGAGATTGTCCAGGACCTTGACAAAATACCCGAATGTCACGTGTATACGTACTCACTTCGTTACGTAGCAGTGAAGTCTTCTTGGAATTTTCTTTCAAATTATTACAGACCGATAGAGTACATATACGTTTACTTATTTCACTTTTTCCCATACCTTCGCCTGCTTTGTTCCCTCTTCCACCTTTTCTAACCTCTTCTTTCCTTATTTACGTTAACAATTTTTTCTCATAATATATTCTCTATTTTTGTAGCCTCTCAGACCTGTCGGCATTCAGCGATTAACTTTAAGGACCGGAAACAAGGGAATTGAAACTGTCATTTTACTTTTCTGTTACTCACTAACAACAAGATCTTCTTCTTTTCATGCTGCGCACGGTTTTCTCTCAGAAACATTGGAAACATTAAAACATACTGCGCTAGCTTTTGAATAAAACTTCCCCCGCCAATATTTTGAATTCTTTGTAACTGAACTGATCTACATGTATCTAAATCATCATTTTTATTATCATTATTATTATTATAATAATTATTATTGATATTATCATTATTATTATCATTATCATTTTTCGAGAGGTCTGATGTAAAATCAATTTCCTTTCGTGTCAATATTTCACTTCTTGAAACAAACTTCCTGTTAATGTTGTTCAGGAGTTGAGCAAAAAGTGAGCTTTTTGCTCGCGTTCATGCATCATTAAACAGCCAACCTTAGTTATCACTGGGCACTATTTTTGGCATTTTTGTTTATTCTCGAACCCACTCTAAACCTGGGTAGAACACAATTCGCGTTGATTTCAAAATTTGCTTAAACTGACTAAACTATTACTTTTAGGGATGTAAGGCTTTCAATTGTGTTTAATTATCCAAAGCAAAAACAAAGTCGCGTTTCGATTCACCTTATTTCCGCCAGTCTAAGTTGAAATGGAACTGCACTGAAACACTTTAAGATTAGCTAATTGTAATTGGTCACTGAGTAAATTAGAAAGACTGCGATTCCTATAAACCATACCTTGCAGTTTTAATTCATCCGATAAAGTTCTGCTGCCAATACCTCAGTCACGCGACATTTTCCCTTGATCTTGAAATCGTCGACATCAGAAATACCTTCCGCCGAGTCACACCATTCAGATCCAAATAAATTCACAGAAAAGATTTCCTTTCCACACGTCTTCGACCGCCTAAGCCGATTATTTTGCGCTTAGTTACCTTCACAACTCGACATCTTCTAAAGTCAAAGAAAGCGAAACTTTTTGAAATCACATGGGTGACCTCAGTACGCGATAACCTTGTAAACACACGTGACATATCGCTAAATACAGAAGCTTAAAATAGCATATCAACGACCTTGTCTGGGTTCAATTGAATTTTTTTCTATTCTACGGATGGACGTTGGATACGAGCAGTTCGTAACCTGCTATCTTTGAAAATTGAAAACAAAAACAAACATCAACGACGTGCCTCCTTAAGGTAAGATCAAATCTGCTGAGAAACAGGAAGGTAGAGGGAGATCTATATTTGTCGCTTACGTGTAGCATAGGACATGCTGAATTGTTTCAAAATTGAAAACAATTATTTTCCTTTCTTCTTTACAACGAGGGGGTCACTTGTAAGGTGGGACCCTCTCCCATCCTCCCTCCCTGTTTTGGGTTTCAACTCCTTTGCATGAGGATTTGCCATTCTTAACACTGAAAATGGGATTGAAGCAGAATGAGTTTAGCCAATAGGAATGGTATTTAAGGAAAATTTGGAGTGGACTAACACAAGAAGGAAGTCATCAACACTGTCAAATGTCTAGCAACAAAAATTTATAACACAATTTTGATAAAAAAAAAGTTTTACTTCTATCACAAAATTGCAGATCTCCAAAATGGTACACCTTGTTTACTTACAAAACAAAATAACCCTGGAATGACTTCCTACATCTTGTTTTGTTATAAAATTTATGCACATCATATATACATATGGTGAAACTAATAATTTTGCTACATGTCAATACCCAACTAGATTGAAAAATTTATTCAAGAAGCTTTTGCAAATAATTTTCAGTTTCCTAAATCAGGGTGCTGAATAGGTAGGGTAATGAACAGGTAGAGAAACTGTAGTGCAAACAGTGGAACTCAATTACTAAAAGGATTGCCAGATCTTGATAATTCTATCAATTGAAACTAATGGAGTGGTACATTTACTGACAGATGAAGAAATGATACAGTTGCTATTAATAAAAGGAGGTGATCCAAAAACATTTCTGCTATGGTTCTCATGTTAAGGATTTGTTTAAATTATTTCCAGGGACTCATCAGTCATCAAAAAATCTCTTGCTAATTCTATGACTTTCTCTGATATAAGAATTAATTAAAAATGACATAAAAAAAGTATTTTTTTGCAAATTTCGTTCAGCCCAGTTATCAATGATTAAATACCAGGCATTTTGCACCTAAAATGCCACCATGGAAAACCCACTGCTTTCTTTCCATAAAGAAACTTATCTGTCAAATAAATAACCTTGAACATTGCAATAAGCTGGCAATAACCACAGATCTTCTGCTTTAACAATTTCCCTTCCAATATCAAAAAGCTGATTCATTATGTGCACAGAACTTGATGTTACCATATGTAAAAACAATTTTATAAAAATTGAAGCTGAATAAGGTTGATTGAAGCATAAGATTCAGACTTGTTACTTCTCTGAAAATAAAGCTTAGGTCTCAAGTTTTGTCATAATTTCATGTTTTATCAATTTTGGCTAAAAAAAAGTTAAATGCTTCTCAAAGTTTCCAGGTTGTAAGGAGAGTTTGTATGCTGATCATGCCTGGCATGAAAAGGTTAAGCAATACTGGTAAATGTCATTGCATACTGAGAAAAAACAAAAGTACTGTAATATCAGTGGTGCCTAAGTAATTAAGTGACTGTTCATTGTAATGCTATTCTTATCATTAAATTATTTGAATTACACTCTGTTGGGATTTCCTTCTGCTTCAGGCTCCATTGCCAGATTGTCGAGACTCCGAGACCGTGGTCCTCTAGGAGGGGGTTGCTTTGGTGGTTCACTTTGCTGTGTAGTTTGTGTTCCCTTCTCTTCTGGTAGGCAAGGCTTCCATGTCTCTCCTGATATTGCTGCTCGCAGATAAATCAAGCTTGTAAATACCAGGCTTGCTCCACCAAGGATTGTTGATAGAAAGAAGCATGGTGGAACGGCAGAACTACAGAAAGCAAGGTTGGGAAAACCAACATTAGATGTCGAGGCTTGTTGTCTTTGATCTGATAACATATGATTTCAGACATACAAGACCTATAAAGCATTTTTTTTCACCCTGCTGGTTATCTTGTGGAAGGAAAATAGCCCTTCAAGTAAGCTTAATCCTTTAACTCCCAAGATCTCATTAGTAATTCTCCTTACTATCTTCCATATAATTCTTGTGTTGTTAGTTCAGAGAATTTGGTACTGGATCAACTAATAATCCCCTAATTGATATTGTTCTTTATTCTCATTGCCTGTCTGCTTGATATGGTATTCATAATGTAAGGAGAAATTCTGTCTTGGGTCACTCACGAGAGTTACAGGGTTAAACTGGACCCAAAACTAGCCATGGTGAAAACAATTAATTTGTTATGTTCTTCAGCATGACATTTCACTTCCCCAGTGCCACTCTCTACCAAAGACTATGAATTGATAGCAGGAAAACATCTGAGAAATGTGGCAAATGCTGGGAGAGGGGGTTATCCTGTAAGGGATAGCTCTCATCCAAGTCGAGTGGTGCCACACCTTATACCTCTTCATGCCAGGATGAGCTAATCGTCAGCAATGCAAGTTACTTTGTTGATACACTTAAACAAGGAGTTATTTGAAGAAAAAAAATAATTCAGAAAAACTGTTGACAATTCCAAATTTCTAGAAATAAAACTTGACAATAAATGACCCAATGAATACCAGAGTGTTGTTAACCACAGGAAAACCAACCATAAATCCATATGAAGTACTTCAGACATGTACACTATGTACAGAGAGTTCCCTTTTCCCAGCTTGGAGTTTCCTCCCATCTAGCAAGCTAAAACATTGAATTTTTTCACCCAAGTTGAGCTGGTGCAAGTTAAAGGAAATGCTTGTGGAGTAGTTATCTACTAATGATAATAAAATACCAGTACTTACAGAATGTAGAATATAAATCGAAACCAGTAGTTCCTTCCAAAGATTCCAAAGAACTGAACAAACTGTGTAAAAGGTTTCTGCATCCTAACAAGGCATGAAAAAATTATTTACTCAAAATATGTTTTCTATGATTAAAAAAACTCAGGACTATTGGGTCACTTAAGGTTGCTGTCAACAAAATAGGGTGCCTTTCAGTAAAATCCACCACCATGCATTATTTTTAAAGAAACCATAGAGATTAAGAAAATAACAAAACTTTTGCACAGTATTTGTTACAGTGGGTGCAAAACTTGTGCTATCTTTACTGAATTATTGGTCTCCATGTTACTACAGACCACGAAACTAACTAATCAGTATTACTCAGCACATAATAAGCTAACAAAGTGTGTGAGGCTTTTTGGACATTCTTAATGGTTCCTTAAAAATTTATTTTGAAGTGGACCATAAAAAATATTTTGGCCGCTGTCACGCTCCAGGATGTTACAAGAGAAATATTTTGAATCTTGTTCCTCGCACGCTTTTGTGCATTAATAACCAACAAAAATTCCACCCAGTTTTCATGAAAAGCCAACAAATCTACATAACCTATTTATTTGTTTAAGTAGAGGTAACTTGCATACAAACAAACCTTGAGTTTTTACCCCAAAGAAATTCATAGTTTTTTTTTTCACACCTCATATAAATGCAAGTCAATGTGGTATGTTGCTGACAGGGCTTTCCCCTAAATCCTACCTCCAGAAAGGTGAGAACTGGAGAGAAAGTCATGTCAAAATCTCTGAGACTTGTTTGAAAATTTTTCAAATGTGTTAAGGAGTATGTTGGCCACTTTGGATATAATTGGGGTCTCTCACAAAAAACTCATTCAGGCATTTCATCCAAACAGATTTTCAGATACAACACATATTTTTAGGCAACAGAGTACTTTGTTTGAATGAAAATATTCCTATTCTGTTTGATGGAAGAAAACTCAACTAAACCCTTTTTGGTTGCCATTATATATCTAACAACTGATTTGTTGATGTCCTAAGCTATGTATTACGTAACCACATCTACAAGATTTATTGCATGATTATGTAATCTATATTACATCCATGTGACAATATCAGTATGCTATCATAACCCCACACAAAGTGCTGATTCACAATTACATGGTACAGTAATCTTACCATCTTTCTAAAGTCTTTTTTCCTTTATCTCTCTTTCCTCTGGGATATTCAATCAACAAAACAAGAAATCCTAGAATTCTGACAACAAGTTAAAGAAGGCTAACCATTTGCCAAAATCGCCTGCCTATAAAATCACTTGGCGAACCAATGACTGAATTAGAAAAAATTACATAAGTTATGTAATCATGACAATGTCTTCACGTAAATAACTACGTCAACATTGTGTTCCCAATTTTTCTGGATTTCGCAACTTAACATGGTGGCTCTCAAATGACTAACAACAATAATAAATAAATTTGTAAAGTGGCTCACACATTTCAGCGAGTCAATCATCAGTATGATTGCTTATTCGCTCGTAATTAACCAAACTTTGATCAACAACAGTGCACGTCTATTAGCGAAAATGAAAACATTTGAGATTATACTATGAATGAAATTCTTCTAAAATAACCTTATCGAAAGTGTAATTCTTGGCACAAAAAACAAGTTTAAGAGTATAGGCTAAGAATCAAAGTAAAATAAAAGGTATACAGAGGGGATGAATTTGCGTCAAATGGGAATATGATTAGCATAACATCTAAATATTGCCTCTAAACTTCTGTACACAGCAGATAAAAAAGATACAGAGAGTACAGACCAAAATACCACTTATTAAACTGGGCTGCTGTTCCAAGGATTCCACCCATTAATAACACTGAAAAATGAAAAAAAAAAGGCGAACTGAGAGCTTGAATGTTCCAAATTTAGATCGAAAGTTAAATTTGTTGAAAAGGAAGTTCCCTCAGGCGGTAATATACATAGTTTCACACGCAAAACACTATGACAGCCTGTCTTCATGAACAGCTGGCAACGACAGGCTTTAACTGAGACGTTTAAAATACAACTTTGAATATACAACAAGGTTAAACTAGACTGAAATTTAAAATAAAATACTTTCAAAAGTTAACACCTCTAGCAAAAGTTTGATGAAAACACACATTCGGCTTCCTTCTACCTCGACTATTGACATCACGCTGAAGAAAGTCGAGACAACATTCAACTCAGGAATGTGTCTATGCAAAAAACTTTCAATATCAACATCGACTGAAAGATGGAAAAATCTCTCAAAATTCAAACTTACCGACACTGGTAATCACTCCTTGTTCGTTACCCCACATTGCCCATTCCGTGTGCCCCATGATTCCTGAAAGTTTTAGTTTCCTTGTCTAACTAGGAAAAGATAATCACAAACTTGTCCACACGATGCAGATCGTTGGGAAGAACGACGAACGACAAATTTCAAAGCAAGGCAAGAAAGAGAAGTGACGTCTACCACGTAACGAAGAGTTCGGGAATATTTTACCCTTCAGGCTATGTTCACGTCACACAAACTGCCAGACTATCGTGTTTTGCGTAAATCCGCCCCTTTTGTTCTTTTCTCCAAATTAGGGAACTATAATTTATGGACACTTTCAATCGTGGTACGAAGTCAATGAAGCGCGCAAATGGGCGCACAATAACGATTTATTCGCCTATTAGTATGGTGTGATTCTACATCAGGGTCATAAAATATTTAAATTTTAAAGCTTGAGTGCATAAACGAGAGGACGTAAATGTGGTCTTTAGTAATATCGTAACGATACATTTGTCACGAAATCATGCCGAATGATCATGTGTGGTCACGCGTCTTATCACATGATACTGAGCCCGCAATGAAGAAAAATGGTCATGCGCAGTGCATTGTAAACACCATATGAAAGATTTCGCGCCAAAATCAATTAGGAAGTTCACTTTGGAGGAAAACGGCGGCATGACATCGACAGCGGTAGAGCAGGCAACTTTAGGCCAGTATTTCACTCAAAGAAAAGGCCTGGAAGATGTCCACCCTGCAAAGCGAAGAAAAGTAGATATGAGTGGAGTTGAGGGCGAAGTTGCGGTCAGACGCAGTGAAAGATCAAAGAAACAAGCGGCGTCCTTTCAGAGCAAGATCAGTACACGATCATCCAAAGCTTCTAAGAGAAATGCGAAGGTAATCCTGAAGGAGAAGAGTGTACAGACTCCAGCCAAAGAGAGGAGCGATTCTACCTCTTTGTTCGATGATCACGCTTTTGCAGAAGCTTTGATCGGGAAACTGACCGATGCGCAGAGAAAGCGCAAGATGGTGGCGTCCTCGAGACAAAGAGACGACGCCATTACGAGCGCTCCCAAAGAAAATAGCTCGGAAGAAGGTTTGCAGGGGCAAATAAACGAGAGCGAGAATGAATCTAGGCCAAAGATTAGGCGAAGAATTGCGAAATATTCTAAAACAACAGAGCGGTCAATAAATGGTGAGAAATCCACTGATCTCGACGCTGCGGAGTTGGTCAATTGCAATCCTTCTCAATCGAAGGAAGAATCGTCCAGTGACGGGAAGTCGTTTGGAATGGACGCTCCTGAGGAGAAGGCAACAATGGTATCTCCTTCGAAAACGCCTCCAGTCGTGAGAAGAGTCGGTAGCGGTCTTAAAGCGGATCCCTGGATCGCAGAACAGGCCAAAATGGTCCATAGCCGTGGAAGAGCAGCGGTTAATTTAAGCCAGAGAAGAAGAGGCAAGGAAGATGTCAAGCAGCAGGCTGGTGCGACTGAGAAAAGTTGTTCAGGTGAATATTGGGTGGTAAAATAACCTGCTTTAGTCATTCAAGCAAGCCCGATTCGTGTTTCGATATCTTGAGAGGAAGGGAGAAATACCACCCCAAAATGCAGAACTTCACAAACAAACTTTGTTTCATGTGTAACTTTGCCTACATAGGCTTCCCTTGCCGTTGTAAGTCTCTGGAGTTGATTAACATAGCTATCAGAAGCTAAGGGAAAAAACATGACACCAAAGTGTCATGTTGTTTTGTCTGTTTGTTTGGTTTTTTTTTGGGTGGGGGGGGTGGGAGGAAAGATGGGATAAAATTCAGTTCACAGGTGGAATAAACTTTTTTACATATATATTTACTTTTCTTTCAGTGGAAAACTCCAAAGTCACAATGAAGAAGGCTCAAGAGGATCTAGCCAAGGCAAGAAAACTGATTAGGAGCATGAGATCATTGGAGAAAAGTGTTCCCAAATCATCACTGTCTTGTACTGAAGATAAAGGATTAAGGCTTCATCAGATGGCTAAAAAGAACAATGATACAGAAAAATCACAGTGGTATGTGAAAATGTTATGTTAAGCCATGAAAACTTGGTAGTAATAATCATAAAAAGGGAAAATCTATCAATAGTTATGGTTTTTCAACAAGGTAAGACCTTTCTTGAACCAATCAACATGTGAAAGGGACCACAGACTTTGGCCATGATTCTGCAGTCTATCCTTTATCACCAATTGTCTGACAAGAGAGTCCAATGTATCATTGCTCAAGTGGCCAAATGCCTGCTCTGTCTGGCTAGTTGGGTCCTCAGAATTTCTTATTGGGAAAATGGATTCACTTTTAAGGGTTATTTGTTTGGGACCTTTAATACTTCTTTTGCATGCAGTAGAGCAGTGCTGTATGACCAAGCTTTGGCCATTAGGTCACCTCATCTGTATGACCACAATTTCATTTTCTTGTTGCTACTCTTGGATGGTCCCTTTTTTTAGGGAGGGGGCCTCACCTGAGGGCAGCCTAACTTTGTTCCTTTTATTTCTCACATACATGGCTGTATTGTGGAATGTCAACTAAGTTTCTGTTTTCATCGGACAAATTTTTTTAATAATTATTAATTTATAGTTTGAAAGATGCTCCAGCCTATCAAAGGTTCCATGCCTTGGCTCAGCCTACTCCATCAGAGGCTTCTTCTACAACTCTACCCCTCCCCTATAAGTACAAGGTGCTGGCTGAGATGTTCCGCTGTACTGACACCATCCTGAATTTGCTGGGACAGCGAAAGGAGAAGTGTACATTTACTAAACTCCGGGATGCAGTGCAGCAGATGTCAAGAAAGTAAGAACCTTGGTGGTCAGGTCATCATGTGATAAGCTTTAAAGTAACCCTGAAATAAAAAACATTTGCTGATGTTGTTGCTTAATTTGGATTTTTTGCAGGCGATTTGAGAAGAAGCATCTGGCACAAATGAAAACAGTTTATCCAGGAGCCCTTGAATTCCATCAAGACAAATGTCTGGGCAAGTCTTCATCATTTGAGTTGATTATTGAGTTTGGAAAAACTGAGGAAGCACTCAGCAAACTTACACTGACAGCCACTGAGCTGTTGGCAAGAAGGGATACCTTCCAGAAGAATCTGCTACAGACAACTAAGAGGCATCATCAGGTATTTTTATGCGAGCATTTGTCTGGAAATTTTATCTTACACAACAATGAAGTTTGTTACTAGTCTGTAGTTGTCTTCTAATGTTTCGAAAGAAATTGTGGTGCTACATTGGTGGGAAAGTATAAAGGGGTATTAAATTTGGTATTATCAACTAAGTTTACAATACTGAGTCCAATCGCTCTGATGAAGGGCTAACACTCCAAATGTCAGCTTTTAATCTCTTTTACGGTGGCCAATTTACATTATCAACTTAGTTGATAATACTAAATTACCCCTGTTATACAGTAGTCTTCTTAGGTTGTTATGGTATCAAGTGTCTGGTGATGTAAGCTATATATCAGTCCAAAGACCACAAGGAAGAATGTCTTTCTCTAGAAACAAATTAACTGTGTTTTTACTCACATGCAGACAGTACTTTTTAAGGACAACTGTTGTGTAGGTTACCTAGTTAGTTGTATAGTACTTCATAGTGTGTGTTATTATCCAAGAACCCATAATGTCGGTGGTTTCAGTAACTTTTTTGACAAACAGTTATCATTGGTGTGATAGGCAGCTGTGCCAAACAAAAAGCCTGCTAGCAGGCTAAACAGGTAATTGAGAGAGGTATTACAGACAGTGATAGACTGGTAACCAGGTTGTCATTGAAACGGCTGTAATGTACACAAATCTTTTTTTCCATTTTCATTTTGATGTTGTGGTCAACCAACAATATTGTCAACTTTTGAATGACTGATTATATGAACATTATATATAATGTATTTGAACTGTGGTTAAAACACATTATATTCCTATATACACAGTCATTCATTTATTACCTCACAAGTTTATTACAAACCAACAAAATGACCAGCACATTGTTAGCCTGTTAGCTCAGTTGGTACAGAGCACTGCACCAGTATTGCAGTGGTCATGGGTTCAACTCCCATACAGGCCTGAATTTTTTTGAGGCCTTACATTCACTTCTGTTTAATTAGTGTTCATTACTGCAAAGATCACTGTCATCTTCATTGTTAACTTTGTTACAAACATTCTTTGTTTAAAGGATTTCCTCTCCAACCTCAGCCCATCTTTGTCAGTTGATGATAACAAAATCATGCGCTGGCATCCAAAGTTTCACCTTGATGAAGTGCCAGATGTAGAGGAGGGCAAGCTCCCTCAGCCTCCAGTGGTAAAGACCTACAGTAGCGCCAATGACGTCTTGGAAAAAGCACGTGACATGATAGCACCAAGGGTATGTCATAACATTACAGTTTTTGTCTTTTTGACAACCATTCAGCTTCTAAAGAATTAATTATTTGACATGACATCTAGGAATGACTGGCATCTTATTTCTCCCCACAATATCACCCCTGAATCAAACATGAAGGTCATGAGAATAAAGGAAATGATCTTCAAATAAAGAAGCTTTTGTTTGTTAAAGGAATTGTCCCTGTCAGCACCTTAGGAAATGTAGTGAGAACAATACAAAATAAAATGTGCATACTGATACTTGTATTAGGGTGTAAGGGTTACAGTAAGTAGAAGAGAAATGTTGTTTAATTGGCTTGGTAGGACCAGTGCTTTCCTTCAGGCAATACCAAATTCCCCAAATTGACATCTTAAGAATTATATGGCAGACAGTAAGGAGAATTACTAATGAGACCTTGGGAGTTAAAAGGTTAAGTTTTCTTTCCTGTAGGTTGAGAAAGCACTGAAGGCAGTTGCTTTGAAAGAACAAGAGGGAGAGGAGTTGACATCAGCAAACAAGAACAAAAACTTGCCAGAAAAGAAAGAGGTGACAAAGTCTACAGAAGAGATGCAAAGCAAAAATAATTTAAAGAATAAAGCTGCCTTGAAGGGAATCTCACAAGATCTACTGAACAAGGTATTTACAGAAGTCTTTGCATGTTAAGTAAGATTGATATTAATAAGTGCACTCAAAATGAAATCCTAAAATGAAAGCCTCCTCATAATAGAGGGAAAATGTCCAGCCCTACAGCATATACAAACAGGTATGTTAACAACTGAAAACTAAATGTAAATCAACCTTTCTTGTTGTTCAAGATCAGTGGTAAGTGGCCCTGTCAAACTGTCATATCAATAAGAACATTGAAACATCTTAACTGTAAATGAATTTTAATAATATTTATAGTATTTTTTAGTCCCTACTAGTGAATGAGCTCGTACTTGATCAATTTTTTTTATTTGATTTGAATCCTGGTTTCTGTGTTTTATCTTTTGTTTTGATATCTTATTCAAAGATTAGGCAGAAAGAGGCAAAGAAAATAGAAGAAAGCCTGATGCGAGATCCCTTAGTTGACAAGAAGCTTGCCATGAAGGAACGCCTTCCTGAACTATGCAGAATACTCAAAGCGTATCCTTGCTTTTTAATCAGAGAAGTGACATTTTTTTTTCAAACAACAGCTACTTTTTTCCTCTGGAAAAGTAGGGCATTAATGACTTTTTGACCAGAGTTGGCTCACAGAAATCACCCTTGATCCTGGGGTTGCTAGCCCAACTATTGTTTGGGGGAATCTGTGTATCACTTTCCAAGGCTTTGTTATCATTGTTGTTTAGTTTTGCCTTATGCAAACAAACAATTAAATATACCCTTAACTATCATTAGTTACTTCTCTGCTGAGCGCAAAGCTGCTATACCCCTGGAGGATGCAACAGTGAAACTGTCAGACAGCTACAAGACATCTCTGTCTTCAGGTATTCTGAGAACTGCATCATTTAATAAAAATTTTTTTTATTTTCTGGATTTGATTGAAAGATCTGATGAAGTCAAGGATATGTGGCCCAGAATAGGGCATTTGTTGGTGATAGTGATTTAAACCATTTCTTCAGTATTATAGTAGTCTATATTTGTTCTTGACAAGCTCTCTGTCATTTTTCATTTAGTGCAAGTTGAAGAACACATCAGATTCATGTCCCAGCTTGTACCAGAATGGATCTCACTTCTCACAGTTAGGAAATGTGCCTATATCAAGATCAACAAGACTGCTGATGTGAACAATGTGATAAACAAACTCATTACAAAAGAAATTCAGTAACACAAAGTGCTCATTTTTTTACAAGATGTTGTCACCTAATGAATCTCTCAGGAAGAGGACACGATGCTAACCATCGCTCAATTTTGGGGCATTTTTTATGAAACTTTTTCAAAGTTCAGTTGTTATCTGGTCAGTATTACAGTATTTTCAACTGAGCTGGTGTTATATTCCTCTGAACAATATTTCACTAATGGACTACATCTTCATTGGTGGACATTGGGGACAAGTTTGATCGAACCCACACTGAAAAGATATTGAAAACATTTTGTTAAAAATTTTCCTCCAGTAAGCTACCTACTTGCCACAGATGTAACTCCAACATGTCACCACTAACAATTGGCCTACAGTCAACTGATGAGTGATATGTTGGTTGAGTCAAATTGTTTACCATCCTCTTTCCCATAGGAAAGTTACCAGTACTACCATAAGCCAATTGTTGATGTTATAAGAGGTGCTGACAATTTTTCCTACTATTTATACAAATGTATGGTGGGCTGCAATTTTAAAATAATTTACAGACAACAACAATCATTGAAAGAAATTTTTTGTTATAAATGCTCAAAAATTCAATATGCAGTCTTTCATTCTTGAAACATTCAATTGCCTTTGAAATTTAGTTTCAGTACCATACAGTATGAGACAAAGTTAGGAAATTACCTCTTTTTAATTATGGAACTATCATCAGTGTTAACTGTTATTTTGTTGTAATTTGTTCTTTAGGAAAAGGTTATCGTAATATTTATTTTTAGAGTCTTTTAACCTTAATGTGTAATTGGCTTTCTCTTTTATCAGGTCATATCCAATGGCCCAATGATTGACTTATAAATTTGTTAAACATGTTTTTATCTTAAAGAACTTTCTCTTCCATCATTAAAAGCAACACTAGTTGTATGGTGGTTTATTAACTGTGTAGTTCTCTGAGTTTGAAATATTCTTCACTTTTTTCCTTTTCCTTTGCCATTTACCAGTACATTCAAGTAAATTAAAACTGAGGGACCTTTTACAGTTAACTGTTTGAACTTGGGAGAAATATTTGATAATGAAGTGACAATGGCAATTTCCATGATTCAAGTTGCCTCTCATGATAACCTCTGATAAGGTTATTGAAATGCAACAGTCCTCTCCAGGACTACTCCCACTTGGACAATCAGACTACATGACCAAGTGCATTGAGCTTGAGAAGCCATAAAAAAACAAACAGAAATCTTTAGGACAAGTTTGGCATGGTGTCCATTTAAAATGGACTACTGCTTCCCAAACATGACACAAAGATAACGTGAGATACTTTAACATACATTCATAGCTACTTCTGAGCTTGTTTATAGATATACTGCAAAAAAAGTAAACCAGCAGCCAAAGACAGTTGACAAGGCACTAAAAAATGTTTACAAAAAATTATTATTTACAGAATGTAAATTATATTTTAAATATGGACTAGATTTTTTTTTAAACAAGTAAATATATATATATATTTTTAACATATATATATATATATATATACAAGTAAATATATATATATATATATATTTTTAACAGCACCTAGATGCTCATTCTATATTGTTCTTTTATAAATACCCCAACATATATAGACTAAATAAACTTAATTGTAATTCTTCAACCTAAGTGCGAACTCTTAGCCTCGCTAAATAGAAAATTTAAATGTTTATTCAAATACAAAAACAGAAGTCCCAGTCCAATCCTAGTTGGACACAAGTTCCTCTGAGAGAATTGTCTTGAGCTTCCTATATATTATTTCTATTTTTCCTGGCTTCCATGGTAACATTTTGTCTGACGCACAGTCTGACAACACAGGTGAGAGTTTGTTCTGAGCATGGATGGGAGCTCTCTGCAGTAATCCAGGCTGCCCCCAATAAGACAGCAAAATGTCCCGACAGATGATCTGCAATTTATTAAATTTTGTTTAAGTGGAAATACATAATATTTAATGTGCATCATGCAGGTGAATATAACCTTGAGTAAATTTAATGCAATATTTATCTGTGCATGTTATCCTCCAGTAGCATTTTAACATGATAACAAAAATGAATTTAAAGAGCCCTAGTAATTGAAATTTCATTTAAAATAAAAGTTCACAAACCAAGCTTGATGGTTTCTGGAACCTCTTTACTGAAAACCATTAATTTAGTAGTAATTAACACATGTATTTATGTGCATTTGGCTTTTCCTCTACAATGGTTGAGTTCATTCTAAAGTTTCTTGGTCTTGTTGGTGTTTGAGGAAGTAATGTTACAGCCCATTGAAAACTTAATTGCCAAGCCCCTTGATCAGATCATCAATTCCACACTACTCTACCAAGCTTTATTAATTAAGAATAAAGTACACTATAACCCACGTCTGCTAAATCTTACCTGTAGGTTATTGGTGAGAATTTTTCTTGAGCATTTATTTTCTGTTGTATTACAAGCAGACACGCAGTCAAAAAAGTCACATTGCGCATCACTTTCACAAGTTGGTTGTTCCAGGAAATCCTCCATTTGTTTTGTTGCAAACATAGAGTCAATATCGAGGGCTACAACTCTCTTATCTTTGGCAACACCAAAATTACCAGGTTGTATGTCGCAGTGATGTAGTTGTCCCAAAGGTGTCTCTGTAAATTCTTTCGAAAGATCTAGCAAGTCCAGAGCAGCATTTAATCGTTTTTTCCAGGGCATTGGCCTTTTAAATGGGGTGAATGAAAATCCTTCTAATGTTTCCACCTTCTCTACAGCATAAAAGCTGCCACAGAATCCATACACTCTTGGAATGTGCTTCATCTCTTTTAATAGTTGAAACTTGATGAATTCATCTCTTTGAATTAACAGCCACAAACTTGACATATCTGCCCAGGTAAGCTCTCCTAATGGATGTGGATGCCAAAGAAGTTCAAGCACCTGTTGTTCTGACCCAATCATGTCTTTCAGTCTAAAAAAGGATAATTCATTCTGTACATGATCAAACACATGAAATACAAAGTTTTTGTACACTTGTTCATCTCCAGCAGTAGGTTCATCATCTGTTGATTGACAAACAAACGCTCACTTCAACTTCAAATTTGGAATTCACAAAATCACTGGCAGAGAAAATGGATTGGGGAGGGGTGGGGGATTGAAGGTGGAGGTAACCTGTTCCAGGCATTCCCTTAGTAACTAGGCTAAGGGCATGATTGTGCTAGTATCAGAGTGAGGTTTGGGAAGAGAATGAGATGGAACTGAGGAAAAGGAAGTAAAAAGGTACTCTGTTATTACAATGGTGTACTTGGCAGACTCAGATGGTCCTATATTCAGTGTGAAAGTGCGTGCAGAACCCTTTTTGGGTTTTAAATAATACTTGAACTGTTTTACATGAAAACTATTACTAATTCTTTCTGACAGCCAAAAACTATTTCCATGGGCCTTTTTCTGTCTTGATCAGGATGATGCCACTTGGAGTGTTAATGCTTAGTTAAGTCCTCCTGGTTGGGCTTCTGGTCCACTACAGATAGCCATGCACACTATTATAAATTTTGGTATGTAAATGAGGATTAGTGAGGCCCTCAATAATAAAATTAGAAATTACTTATCAAAATTTTTTTGTTTTGCTTTAAAAACAGTTATTTTTTTTTCCTTTCAAGTCAACTGGAAAAGTTATTTGGACTTTTTAGACTATTTAATTGTCTCTAAAATTTAACAGACTTGGTCAGAAATTCATCAAATAGACTTACCACTTACTCCAATAGACAGTACATCCTCAAGGTTTTCAACATGATGAGGACGTCTCTTTGTCTTGAAAACAATATCATTTTTTCTCCATGTGCCAGAAAATACAATGGTGGTGTTTTTATGTGCTAGACAGTCTTGGATGACTAGTTCACCACTTGTGCACAAGTCACGACAGAGATTTCCCCCAGTGTTACCATTGGTAAAATCTTTGCACTTGAAAAGGGAAAAAAATAAGTTGACTGAATTGGACATAAATCTTCATTTTCTTGAAAACATTATTGCAAGTATTTTATCAACCTCTCAGGGCCTTAAAGGGCAGGTAGATGTTTTCTTTAGGCCAGGGAGACTCCAGAATCATGGAGAGGAGGTACCGAAAATTCTAGAATAGGTAAGGTACAATAAATCAGACTGCAAAGACAGAGGACATTAGAAGAGTTAGGAGATTATTTGCAAAAACAGTTCGGAAAAGGAAGGGTGGATTGCTTAAATAAGATTCACGAAGACAGCAGATAATTAACGGCTTAATAACCACGTCCTAGCGTAAAAGAATCGCGGATTTCATCATAACGGAGTGGTTCGAGAAAATATGTATACATAAAATACTTCTATCCAATTAATTTATAATTGCTGAGCGACGAAAGAAAGAGACGATATAACGTTTAACGATGAGTTTTGAATGTATCATGTGAACATTGACTTCCGCATTTATTTTAATTACTCATTTCCATCCAGAATGTTTTTAATGAAATACACTATCCCACTAACCGATTTTGATTGATGCTAGATTAACTTATCTTAGAAACCACGCTACATTCCTGTTGTCGATCATTAACGTAATTAAATTTACGATATTTGTAACCACTTCCCTTTGAAAAGCAGCTCTTAAGATACTTACCAGCTTTACCAAGCGATCTTTCGCTTTAAGTTCTTCACAGGTCCACTGCCTGTCAAACTCCACATCTTCGTCGTTGAAAGAAGTGACAATCTGATAAAAAATGAAGACCACTATAACTAAAAGAGTGCAGCACACTAATTTTCGCCCCCTTGGTAGCTTCCGTCTCCGAGAGAATAACATCCCAAATTCCTCAGAATTTAAGGCGGCCGCTCGCCGCGTCACAAAGTATATTCGTACGAGAAAGCGTTACGCATCGACAAAAATGTCAGGTGAATAATACCACGGGGTCACATAACGATCACGTACGACCAATCGAACGTAGAAAATTGAATATTTTCAGCACTCTGTTCCAGCAATAGGATTTTTCACCCCAGCTGAGATGAATGAATTAAGCAAAATAAAAACTTAAAGCAATTCAAAGCCTTTTGAATCGCTGCATCTCAAAAAAACCGGAAACGACGTTCAGTCTACATCCACTTCCGGTAACGTCCGGAAAAAAAATAACAGCCTCACCTATTAAAGTTTTACTCAAGTTTGAATGCTTCAAACAAATTTATGAAGCATAAACCCACAGTAGTTATAGTTTTTGAACACTTCATTAGATAAATGAGCTTTTGATACCGTAAAGCACGAAATTAAAACGAAAGGAAGCAAGCTTTGGTTGACGCCAGGTGAGTTCACTGTTTCAGGGCAGTTGTTTTTCGGTATGACAGGGGTTCCCAAATATGGATCAATTAGTTACAGGCGAATGGCTACGCGTGCCAGAATTGTTGTAGCGTCTATTTCAGCCAATCACCGTTGGAGCTGAGTTACTTCAACGTGCATTGTGTTGACAATAACTTGTCATGTTTCTTTCTTTGTTGAGCAGAGGTTTGTTTTCAGCGCTGCGAAACGGAAGTTCCGTCATGAGAGGTATGAAATTTCGAGAAAATCGGACACGCATTGACTGAGTTCACTCGATTTGCGCGGCAAGACTCGAAAGTTACGAAGACCGCAGATAACGTACCCGTCACTGGACAAAATGCCACGGGTAGTGCCAGAGCAAAGGCAAAAGTTCGAAAATGACGACTTATTTCGGAAGATGTCACGGGAGACGGAGGTGATTTGACAATTCGACGTACATGACAAAGTTGTAAACTCACATGGACACTGCAGCACGATGCCATTAAATCGATTCTATCTATTTTCAGATAAAATATACCGGTTATAGAGACAGATCGCACGAGGAACGCATCGTCCGATTTCAAACAGAAGCTCGCGATGGACATGCCACCGTGGTAAGCCTGTCAAAAAAACTACTCTTGATGAAGTTGACGAAAACTTTCGTAAAGATCATCACAGTCCCTCTTTGCGTGAGGGAGTTCTTGTGTTCTGTGTTATTAAATCATTACCCTTGAATAATTTTTTTAAACGATGTAGGCTTTCGTGTCGTCTGGGACGAATTTCACACTACAGTTTCCAAAAGGAGAGGATGGAACAGTTCCGAAGGATTTTCTTGACTTTGATCGGGAACCAGGAAAGGTAAACGAAAGTGAACATGATTTCAGGTTTCGCTTTAAAGAGGAATATTTGAAAACGAGCTAATAATTGCACTGAAAATCTCGTAACTAGAACTTAATGTTATATAATCGCCGTCATGTTGTGGAATCTAAATGTTTTCTTGGATTTTCCTCTCGGCTCGATTTTAGCGTCAAATTTAACAGCAAGGTTGGAATTGCGCCAGATTATTCTCACAGCCCTTTCGAGTGGGCTGGCCAAATAACGTCGGAAAGTTACGCCTTTTACGAAAAATAAATTGCGCCCTTGTATCGGTAGGCGACTGACTTGATTTCTTTTTGAAAGTTTTATTTGTGTATAAACATCTGGCTATTAAAGCTACTTGCAGCAGGTTGTGACTTAATTATGCATTTGAAAATAACTCCGCTTTTACGTAAAATCGCAGCAAACGCGTATTTCGGCAAACGGAATTTCCGATCGCCTAGGAAGTAAGTCCTTGAGGAGATCGAACAGCAATCTTATAAAAGATTTACCGAGGTATTAAGGTGGGAAGTGGAGGTTGTCGGCAACCCTAGATAATTGCACGTGCTGACAAATTAATTATTTACAATCTGTAACATTTCAGCATTTGAATGGCTTTCTTATTCGAGATGACTTGCTTCGGTCGGCTGTTCTCGTGGGCTTTCCGCACAATAATCGTTTTGACTGTAATTCGAATTATTTTGCAGAGGTAGATTAAAGCTCGAAGCGAGGCAATTAATTGCGCGATTGCGTGAATCAATAACTAGTATGATCGCAAACGACAAGCGGACGTAAGGGGAGAATATTTAATATCATGGCAGTTTATTTTTCAGGGTAATTATACTGAATTACAGGAGTTACTTTTCTTTTGTAAATTGTTTATTTCCGTAGCTTTAAAGACGATTAAATATTTCGTGTCGGAAAAGTTCAACTCATTCGTGATTTCCCCGAGGCCTTCCTTAGCCACTAAGTGTAACTTTATCTCAAACAACAACAGATTTATGGCGGTAGAATATAGGAAATCTATTGGAGGTACTTGTGTCTACATACTAAATTGAAAATTTGTCAGCTAAACAATATCAAGTTTCAAAATATTTTGAATAATGAAGGCGGAATACCGAGTGTTTTTCATGATCGGATCGGCGAGTTCGCATGATCGCTGCTCGCTTTAGAAGATTGTTCATGAACAATATTCTTTGTAGTGCGGCATGTTGAGTTGAACGCGGTGTGAAATTCCGACTTCAATTAATTTAAAAACAGGTGTATCACTCAGTGTGATTTGGCGTAAAAGTATTTGATTTCTTCCTGAATAGGACGCAATAACAACCCGATTGTTTTCTTGTTTAGTTCTGTCACAAGTGCAATTATGCTAGTGAATGAAAATATTCTGAAACAAATTACGAGAAGCAAAAGCTTTTGTCCATCAATGATCTCCCTAACTTCACCAGAAACTCGCAAGAATACTTTGTCCTTCTCTTGATCGAAAGTTATTGGTAACAATGCCAAATACAAGTTTGCGTGTGCAAGCACTTATTTAATTATGCCAGACATTTTAATCAAAGTAATGACACGGCTGAAACGACGAGTATAACAGAAATTCCACATCGCATTCGCGAGATAACGAAATTCCATATGGTTGACAACATCTCGTGGAGCGCGATTTTGTCACTTAATCATTAACCATAGGTGTGAAAATCTATTTAGTGTTGGAGAAAGAATTTTTACAGAAAACGTGCTCTAATTTACAATATACTATAAAAATTTGTGACTACTTAACCGTTAAATCAGTGACATAGTAAATCAGTTAAATTTCCGTTATCACATAAATGCTCCCTATCAATCTCGATAGGTCTTCATCAAAAGCCGTTTTATAATGAATGGTGTATGTGTCGTTTGGAAAGGCTGGATAGACTTGCAGAGACTTGACGGAGCTGGATATTTGGAATTTGACGAAGATAAAGCTAAAGTAAGTTTTAATACCTATATTAACAAACGAATTCTCCTTTCCCACCAGTAGACATTCCACATTAATGCAGTAGCGTGTTGCCAGATTTATTCATGAATTCTCATTACACTTGTAAATCAGTTTCTGGTAATATGTTGGGAGAAACTTCATACTGATACTTGTTGAAGAGATTCATGACAAGTGCTTTGTTGGTTTTCAAATGTTTCTGGTTTTTTATTTATTTTTTAACTGTAATTAGTGTAATATTGCAAGGTTCCCTGGAGTACTCCAACAAAATGTGGTAAAATACTTTGTATACACAGGTGTTTGCCTTATTGTGTTATTTTCAACAATTTATTACAAAGTCATATAGAGCCTTCCTAATAAGTAAACGATTTTATGGTTTCAAAATGATGTAAGATCTCAGTCATGATACTGGTAAGGTTACTTTCTCACAAATATCACATTGCGTGTCTTTACTAAAGTCACATGCGGAGACCAAAAGGGCCGATAAACAGGAAAAGAGGTCACTAAAAATAGACCCACAAATTATACACCTCCTTTTGAGAGAGAGATGACACAGATAACACAAGCTAATTATGGCTCTTATTCATGAGTAGTCTGATTAGTTGAAAAGAATCAATAATGTTTTTGTTTGAAGAAATGATAAATCATTGCTTTCATGCCCACAACAAAACAATTACCTTTGAAAAAAGCTCTGCTAATAGCAGCTATTACATAATTCATTCCACATTTCTACATTTTGGACTCCTGGGGTTTTAATTGAAATGCAAAAAATTGAAAACCACCTCCCCACTTCACTTTTTGAAGAGGCCACATATGATCTGTTGACTAAGGGTAAAAATGCAAATTGCATGGCACTTCAAAAGAGCAAATTGTATAACCTTTTCACTCTCTGTGGTAACCTTAAAGGAGATTTTAATTAATATATTGATATAATTTCAAGTGAAAAGGTGATTTGAAGAAAGAGGGAAATCAGTTGTGGCTTATTACTTTTCTCAAAAGCAAATTTTTAGTGTTAAAACTATAAAAAAAATATATAGCAAACAGTGTGGAGAATTGATATTAAAATTTAGGGGTGATAAGAATAATAACAGACCCCTCATTCCAGCTACAGCACATTTTTTTTTTTCCATTGTCGGAGAATTCTTTCATTACCATCACTTCCAAGTCAAGCTGTCTTCCTTAAGAAGATGAGGAGCTAATGTGATTTTGAAAAGCTGTTACTGATGATGCGACAAATTATCCAACAAACTCCACTGTGTGGTCTATATCCTGTTCTATAGGGCAATATATAAGGATTGCGAAAGGCTGTCAGTGGGGTATTGTATTCAATGATTTGACAAATTATCCAACAAATTATCCAACAAATTCCTGAAAATGTCATTTACTTTGTTGTCTTTATTTTGATTGGCCAGATAACATAAAAGGATTGCGAGAGGCTGTTAGTGGGGTATTGTATTTGATGATTTGACAAATTATCCAACAAATTCCTGAAAATGTCATTTACTGTGTGGTCTATATCCTGATCTGCATCGCAATATATAAGGATTGCAAAAGGCTGATTAGTGGGGTGCTGTATTCAATGATTTCACAAATTATCCAACAAATTCCTGAAAATGTGATTGACTTTGTAGTCTATAACCTGATCCGCAGGGCTATATATAATGATTGCAAAAGGCTGTTAGTGGGGTATTGTATTTGATGATTTGACATATTATCTAACGAATTCCTGAAAATTTTATTTACTTCATAGTTTTGTATCCTGATCTGCAGGGCAATACCAGTATATCTAACGTGCCACTTAAGTTGGTTTGAAACTCAACATTCTGCAAATTCCTTGCAATGGTAAACCATTGCCATTCAAATTAGAAAAAGTCCTTTTGAGTATGAAATTTTATAGTAAAAATGTGTTAGATAAAGTAGTTTGGGATCCCACGCGGATGAAACTATAAGCGACAAATTGTGCATTGTTTTATGCATTATATCCTATTGGCTGAGAGAATGACATGGGTCTTCTAGACTAATCAAAGAAGTTAGTCATTAAAAACCAACAGAAAATCAGGAGACATTCAAGATTCAACTACAAATTTTTCCTGAATCCTCACTCTAAAGTAAAGCATAGGTCTTGCCCAGTTGTTTAACTCTCATTGTTCTCCCTTGTACCATGCCACATTAGTCTGAAGACAAAGTAATGAAAGAGACATTAGAACAAGCCAAAAGACGAGTGGCTGAATTTGAAGAAAGGCAAAGACAGTGGAGGGAAGAGCAGCAACGGAAAGAGTCTGAGGCAAGTAGCCATCAACGTATCAACTATAGGTAAATGCTCGATGAGTGGTTTGTACTCTTCTTGTTTCTTTACTTATTGAATTTTAAATATATTTTAGTTTGATCGAAAAAAAGTTATCACCATGTACATCATAGCCTCCTCTGCAGACAATCCAAAGCCTTTCATTCCTGAGATCTTCTGTATAGAAGGCCATGTTTATCATGACTGTTAACTATTATGATGATAAAGCACCCACAAGTACATGTCATTTTAACAGTGAACTTAAGGCTGCTGAAGAAAAGTTTGCATAATTTGTCATCCCTTAATTTCTAAGAAATGATTGTTGAGTAACCTCTCCTTTCAAAATCAATATGTTATACAGAACAAAGGTGACAAAAAGTGAAAAACTCATCAGTCAGAGGGTGTCACTTGGATGAAGCACCAAATTCTCAGGACTAATTTGCAATAAAATGTACATTAGCCAAAAGGGAGATTTTACCAAGTCAGATCTCAGAAGTTCAAGAGTTGATAAAAATGCACTATGAGAATTTGAGAACATTTTTCACTCCTTTGCACTGATGTCTGAATGTTTCTTCCAATTTTAAATTGCCTCTAAAAGCCGCTAGGTTTCATGAAACTTCCCAAACACTGGCCACATTTCTGGAGGCACACTCCAAAATTAGGTGCTAGATATAGAAGATCTACTGTCTACTTTAGCTATGCAAATTCTCCCTCCTGGAATGTGTTAAAATGTTTGAAGCCTAGTGGTGAGAATTTGCACTTTGATTGATACAATTTGCAATCATTGACAGGTTAAGCAGTGAAACTTCCTTTTGTTACACTGGAAATTTGATGTACTCTTTTTCTATGTTCTAGACAAAACTAAGAGGTCACTCTTCATCAGGGGCTCAAAAATAACAAGAAACATTAGGGTCAGATGGCTCTGTAAAAGTATTATGAATATATATAGATACACATATTATGATATAATGAAAGGGCAAGTCCTGCAGGAAGAGATCAAGCTATTCTAGAGCAAAGTAGGGCTGTTCTTATAGTCAAATATAGCTTATTCAGTTCTGTTATCATAACGAAACTTTCCAAGGATCCTTAATGGTACCATGAACTATATGAAAAGATCAGAAAGTTGGATTTGATTGTTGATAACACAACCAAAGTTATGTTTATTGATTCATTTACTAATGCCAATCAACCTATTGATAGATAAAAACAGATTGGAACACTGTAACCTGTAGTAAAGATTTTTTTGTTTTGTTTTGGAAGCAATAGACTCAGCAATGTTAGCAGACATGAGAAAGTAGAACTGTTCTTTTTTTTTATCTTCTCATATCTGTGGTCATTGATGCTCCTATCAGAAAAAGAAATCCTACAATGTAATTGCTGGAAACTCTAGTAATTTTTCTGTTCTACTGATGTTTTATTCTACTGCATCTAGTTCTTGTTACCAAAGGAATCATTATATAGTCACTCTTAGACTTCTCATACCACAACCTCTGAGTTTTGCTTTGTGAGAGTGAAGCAAACACAATCACACACTCATGTTGAGCATGATAATGTGGGATATTACAAGATAATCCTTTTATTTTATTAAAACAACATTATCAGCTCTTAGTCAAGCCTAAATATTGCAATTTTCTGTTGGGTTTCTTGTAGCAGTATTTGTGTCATGAACCTTACAAGTAGCTTATCTAAAGTGTCTTAAATTTACTGCATGTTTTCATACAGTATATCTCATTATTAATCACATGGCTAAACCATTTCTATCACAGCCTCTGTTCAAATTATACCCCAGCTAGTCTGAAGAGCTTGTTATTAAAATCATTACAATTTCTTAGGATAGTACAACTGTAAAGTGTGTACACTAACAAATTTCTGCAGCTTTGTTGTATTTCATTACAAAACTGTAGATTCAAATAGAGGAGGGTTTTCTCTTACAATCAAGCCAGACAAGACAAAAAAGTGTTGTGCTAAAAAGGTGCAACTTCATTGTTTAAGCATGGTTTTCATGTCAGGCAAAGTCTCAGATGAAATGAAGTTTTACCATTCCCCAACTGTCCCCAGCTTTTTGGCCTTGAACCCTTTCACTCACAGGAGTTATCAGTATATGATTTGTCCTTGAAGTTTTTAGCACACTGTTGAGGAGACCAGTGACAAGAATTAAGAAAATTACTAACTAGAGGAAATTGTTTGGATATAACATGAAATTCTCACAACTAGCCAACAAAGAAATGCATAGTAATCCTTTAGGAGAATTTCTTTTAAATCTTGGTAGTGAAAGGGTTATAAACAAAGAACTGAGAGCAATCCTCAAAGGATGGAAGGAACATCTTTTATACACCTGTTTTCTTGTGCCAGGTTTGTCACAATCTTTCCATCCTGTATCTTGAAGTTCATACACTGCTGAAATCTGTGATGGCCAGAAAAAAAATTTACTCTGAGTAATCAGTTATTATTCTGACATGAAACCCAGGCTTCACACGCATTCTCCCTTTAGTCTGGCAGCTGAAGAGAGAGCCTTAATAATTATAATATATGAATTAAAAATTTTATTTAGCTTATTTAACATTTATTTAAAGCCTTTAAAGAGCAAAAAGTTTCTTCAAGAGTAAAGGCTGTGATTATTTACTCTGCTTTTAAATATGCAGTATTATTAATAAATTCAAGCGCATTTGACATTATTTTGTTTTTGTCAAAGTACCATAATCCATGTAAAACTGAACCGTAAATCACTAAGCTCGCTATCAGTAATTACATGAAAAAGCTATTGTAAAAATTTTGTTCGATGTCAGTGCAATTGACCTGTTTAAGCAATATATGCAATTCCAAGAATAAAAATTTATCTCTTGATGAAGGTGTGAGGGATTTTATTTGTTTGGTTTAAAACACAGCTTCTTTTCCAGAATGAATGGCACTTTCCAGTGTAGATAGCATCCAGCAGTTATCAGGGAAGTCAAGCCTGATTTCTCAAGCACAGTCCCCAAACTAATTGGTAAAAAGCACTTTGAATGCTGAGGGAAATTCCTTGGCAAAGTACCTTGATTCAAGAAGTTCTCATTCAATAATTAGAAGCCCCATTCTCCCTCAAACAATATCAGTCTTCAATAGTGTGTGGTTGAATAGAGAGAAAACTCAAAATTGCATGGAGGGGGGGAAGGGGGGAAAAAAGGCAACCTCAGCCCAACCAGGAAGGAAAACAAATATTACATGTTAAAACTTTTGTCACTGATTGTAAGTAATTCAATGTTGCTTCCTTAAGTCCGGAAAGAATTTCATAACAGAGATAAAGATTTGTTAGGGGAGTTCTCTGTTAAATTACACTAAATAGGTATTGCTGAGTATGCTTTGATGGTGATGATGGCTTGAGTGGGAGAGAATGCGGCATTTGAGAACACTGATGTTTATGGAAAGGCAGGGAAGATCCTTCCATTAAAACAGATCTTTGGGAGGACAGTGCATATTTCAATTGGGTGTCATAGAACCAAAATAAAAGCCATCTAAATGGCCAATGGAAAGAAAGGTAGATATCACCAAGAGCTAAGGACAGCTGAAGGTAAAAGATATGCAATCTTCCTGAAGCTCAGGAAAAGTGAGTGACTTAGTCACAACTGGTCACAAAACCAATGCAATCTAAATTTTTCCCTTCAATTCACAACACATTTCCATATATGTAAGTCACCAGAATTTGAAGTTAAATCATCACACAGCAGTTTTAAGAGTTGGTCTATTATTGAAAATGTTTAAGCTCTTTATTAAAGGGCTTGGTATTGATATCTTAAAGAGATGACACATGTTAATGAGTTCGATTTTCAGTGCAAAATCTTGTTTGTCTGTTCCCTGCTTGTTAACCTCTCAATTTGTTTTCACACGCAGATCTCATAAATGCAGTGAATGAATACAAACAAAAAAAAACCAAACAATCAAAAACGTAACAGCTTGAACACATTCGTAGAAAAAAATGTAAGTGTAAACTGGATTCAACTATCAAAATAAGAACAGTCACATGAGATTTCTATAAACATACTTTATTTAATGTTACCATTTGTCACTTGAAATCAAGTTACAAACACATGCATACAAGTCCATATATTCACACTACACATACTTGAGTTGACATTCTAAGTACGATTTGAAGGACAGCCATTATGTACAGACTAACTTGTAAGCAATATTCAGCAAACAATAATGCAAGGACACAAGAAGAATCATTGCTTATGTCCACTTTAATTTTGCATAAAATGTGTGAACATTGTGGTGAGAGATATTTAAACAGTTGACTTGAAAAGGGAAAAGGCTTTGACTTGCAAGATTGACCCAGGAGTAGCATGCTGTCAGTTTACGACTGAAAAGAGCATTGGACTCTGAAATGGACTGACAATTTCCTTTGTATAGTTGAGCTTTTTGATCTTGTTGTTTAATTTTTAAACCATATGGGAGTGGACGTGTCTGGAAGAAATGGACCTAAGATGAAAGGTGGCTGAGGGAGCAAAAGTCCTGGGGAGGACAGGAGAATATGAGAGATGGGAGTCTCACCACCCTCCCCTCCCTCTTAAAAGGGCTTCTTTGAATGGTGGAACACGTTTCTATTTACCATCCATTCACAATACTGACTTTTCACTTTGAAAAGTGCTGATTTGTTTTCATTTACAAAATTTAAGTAAATATGTCCTCAGAAGTAATATTTGTACTCTTTATCTAAACTTAAATACCAATAAGACTGAAATAATTCTTACTAGTAAATTAACAGTTAATTTTCACAACAAAACAAAAGTAGAAAACTACAACCTGCTGGAGAGAAAGCCTTTTGTCCAGTGCTGATTGAAAGGAAAGAAGGCTTATCCCCAAGCTCAAACACAACATAATAAATTATTATAATAATCAAGCTCCCCAATTCCATTTAAATAATTGCAACTCCCTGACATTGCTTAGCTTGGTAATCAGTAGATCAGGTGAGTTTGAGAACATCACAACTTAAGATATGGTGGAATTAGCAAGTGATCTTAGGAGCCAACCTCTGATCTGAACTCACACCACTCTCTATGATAAAACTGTACTTGGAAAGTTATCAAGTGATCTTATGAGCCAACCTCTTATCTTATCTGAACTCACACCATTTTCTATGATAAAACTGTACCAATCAAAAACACCTGTAACCTTTGCTGATCACTCTACACCTGAGTTACAAAAACTCTTTTAGATGGTATGATTTCTTTCTTGTCTCTTAAACATGAGGTTACTTTCACTTGTTTGCTTTTTCTCCAATTAACATACTGACTTCAAAAGCACAATCAAGTGCAATGTTCCAACTCAGTGAGATCTTTCTAAAGTATTACCAGCTCGCATGAGTCACATCACAGATATCCCTCAGTACCTCTTAATCTGATTTTCACTGATGTTTGTCCTTCCATTTTACTTAGTCTGAAATCCGATCTGCCATTTTTCAAAATAATTCACTCCTAGCTTACACAAAGGCAGCTCAGACTCTTGTTGTCATTTTTTTTAATGAAAATAATTTACACTGCGGCAGTGGACATTCCACAAGTCATGGTAATCCCTGTGTGTATCATATCTTCTCTAGAATAGCTTACTTGCTTACTATTAATCCAAGCTGGAAAATGCTAGTGACATCTCACGGAAGAGACTTCCCATTTTTCCAGAAATGTTGGTTTTACTAGACAGAGCTTCACGAACGGACTGCAAATGTGAATAGCACTTGTGACACTTGTTATACCTGCAGGGGTAAATTTGCGTGAATTTAAACATGACTCACATATACATAGACATAAGATTCATTCTTAATATCTGTAAGTTTTAAGAAAGACTACACAATACAATCAACACAATAAAAAAAATAAATAAAAAATACTGGTCATACTGATTATGAACCGACTATTTGTAAGGTCATTTTACATGAAAAGGTAGGGAAAGGAGGAAAAATGCAACTGAAAATTGCTCTGTTTAAACACTTAACCCTGTACACCCTAATATCAGTATGCATAGTCTCTATACTGTGCCCTGTACATTTCTTAAGGTGCTGACAAGGAGAATCAGTTCAACAATCAATTCCCTTATTCCTGTGACCTTAATGTTTGATCCAAGGGTGATACTATAAGAAGAAATTAGATCCTTGTCACTCTTTGGGGTTAAAGGGTTAGACCTCACCTTTCTTCTCTGACTAGGTCAACTCCTACAGACACTGGTGGTGCTGCCATGTTGCTTTTGATAACTGGAGCAAAGTTTCGCAGAATAAGTTTAATTGCCATTGCACCAGCTTGGACATAGCTGTAAGAGAAATTCAAATGTATATTGATCAAGATTGATTAAATGAGTTGATATGATAATGATGGCAACACAAAATACTTTTTCATGATGGTGCTCATAATAAGGACTGACACGATTTCTGGCATCAAGCCTGACACCATCAGCTGTAATATGTTTTAATCCACTACATGAAACACTCTCTCACCTTTCATACTTGCTACTTATCAGGTCCTTGAGGTGAGGAAGCAGCAATGAACAAACATCTAGATTCCATAATGTCCTGTAAAGAGAAATCAAGAAAGACATTTCACAGGTTGTTTTCTTTTTTGGACAATGGATGTTACTGTTTATTAAAAGTTTGTAAAGAGAAATCAAGAAAGACATTTCACAGGTTTTTTTTTTTGGATGATGGATGTTACTGTTTATTAAAAGTTTGTTACAGTCAAACCTGTATTAAGCTGCCATCCACAGGGAATGGCAAGGTGACCACTTAATACAGGTTAACCACTTAACACAGGTTCCACAGAAGAGGGATAATGTATATTTAAAAAAATGATTTAATGCCATAACTGACCACCTAATGTAAAAACACTCACTTAAAAATACTACGAGCATTGATTTCAGGAGAGAAACATGAATTAAATCTTACTTGAAAGATCATTCTCAGTTTTTTTTCTTAGCAGTTCTGATTTAAGTGACTGTTCAATACAGGTGGGGGACGAAACAAACAGATTGGTGGGACTCACTCAAATGTGACCATGACCACTTAATACAGGTGAAAATTAAACACTGATTACGAGGAGACAAATTCGGGACTTTGACAACTGACCACTTAATGCAAGGTGACTGCTTAATACTGTGCCTCTTAACCCTTTAACCCCTTAGAGTGACTAGCATGTAATTTCTCCTTACAATATCACCCCTGAATCATACACTAAGGTCATGAGAATAATGGAAATGATCATTAACTACAGAAGCTCCTTATCATTGAGCTAATTCTCCTTGTGATCACCTTAGGAAATGTACAGAGAACAGTATGGAGAATGTGCATACTGATCTTAAGGTGTAAAGTGTAAATACAGGTTTGACTATATCAACCTCCTCCTGTATCATGAAAGCCTCACCTTGTCAAGCTTTGACAGCACAATAAGTTAAAATTAACCCTTTCACTCCCAAGATCTAATTAGTAATTCTCCTTACTACCTGTCATACAATTCTTATGATGTTAGTTCAGAGAATTTGGTATTGGATCAACTAATAATCCCATGATTGATATTCTTCTCTATTCTCATCACCTGCCTGCTTGATATTGTATTGATATTGTAAGGAGAAATTCTGTCTTGGTCACTTGTGGGAGTGAAAGGGTTAAGAAAGTAATATGTGGATAGGTAAACATACTGTTTTAAACAGAGAACATTGAGCAGGTCCACTAAGATAGCTTGATCATTCATATCTACTGAAACTTGTACCGCAGTCTGAAAAAGAACATTAAACAAAAAGGTGTAAACAATTTGAACAAAATTGATAGCAACTCAATTCAGAACTTATCAAATACCATTTCTCTCTAACCTTTATTTCACCATCCCCCC